TACAATTAATGTTTGATTTGGTTTTAAATCTTGCATGTTTTCTAATTATGGCAACCCTTATTGAAGAGAAAATGAGGTTTGAAGTCCTTGCTCTTCTGATATCGAATCTTAGGAAATGAACTGAGTTCTTGCCACAAAGCTAATTCCATAAATCTTTGTATATATCTTTGCAATGTGATAGACCTTTAATATTTCAAGGTATGAATTCTACTTTAAAAAACGTCTGAAGTTTGAAATATCAATGGTTTACACCAAGATTTAAAAGATATGTAAAAGGATAAGACCATTTTTGTTAACCCTAAACAATGAGTTCTCCGTTGTAAAGTCGTCTTTAACTTAAATTGTCTCTCGGAGACCACCAAACCAAACCTTACCTCCCAGATAGCATAAACAAACCTCACGTGAAGTAACTCAATTTTAAAAAGTTAAACAAAAGAAAAATATTCATAAAAAAATAGTTGTTTACATTGATAATTAATTGTCATTTTATTTCAGAAGATAAAACGTCTTTTTAGTACTGTTTATACCATAATTTGTACCCGCCTTCAATCCATTAGATCGTAAGATTTTTTTCAATATAAACATTATTTTCACTATATGTACTCACACTAATCAAATGTAATTTTTCAGGAAATAAAGAGATTCAATTATTATCGATTTTATTGGAGACGGTTTATATTCTGTTTGTGTAGCAGTCGAAGTAATCGGGATCGATATTTTGGGAAAATAAATACCCTTCAAATTCCGACCTTAGCTGCCCTGTTTTGTTATTTTATTCGAGAAACTCCTTTCTTGGGTCCAACAATTTTAGTGTGTGGCAAAATCTCAGTTTCTTAAAAAAACTTAACTGTAAAGGACCGTAGACGTATTGTTTCATGTCAGAATTAAACACTTTTTAAGCTAATGGATAAATGGCAATAGGTTCAAAGTGTACCGTTGTGAATTGTACATTCGTCTTGGAGGGTCATTTTATTTTGAATAAATGTGTAATAAAATCTTAATAATGTTTATTCTGTGTCTGAACATTGTAAGCAAAGTCTAAACACACCATTAAACTTCGCTATTGACTTTATCGTAAGAAAGATTAAGTTTTGCATTTTAGAAAGAAATGAACTTCATTGAACATTTAGTAGGAGGAAGGAAACTCAATACTATTGACTGTAAGATTGATTTAAAAACTTTATTCTTTCTTTTAAGAAATAAGAAAACTTTATCTATCACATCCTATTTTATAGAGAATTCCCGTATAGTTATGGGATCGTGAATCAATTAAACCATTTTCAGCTTATTCTAATGAGTGGTATTGAAATAAATTGGTTTTATGAAGATAATCGGAAACCGTTCGATAATGTGCCGACATAACACAAAGAAGACGCACATGAAACAGACAAAAACAATTATTGCAGATTTAAACCTGGCCATGTTTACTAAACAGAACAGGACGTACAATGAATTTTGTTTTTACAATAAATCATAACAAACATTTAAGAAAGTAAATTCAATACGAGCACTCCACGTCCCCCCCCCTTAATCCTTAAAATCTTCCTTCCTTAATTATAACCTCCTTCCACATGACTTCTGATTCTCAACCCCCCCCCCCCTCCCCTTCCAGCCCTCCTAACCACCAAACTTCAAGGATAGTTTAGGATTATGGGAATGCAATTAACCCTGAAGAATAATGTAGAACAAGCCTAAGTATGTTCAGATGTCAGATTATTTATTCATAAACATTATTTTATTACATTAATTCCCTTCAAGATAATTTCATCTGCCAACTACTATACACCGTGACCAGGAACCCACCACACCCAGAATCTTAAAGAGATTGTAAACGAAACTTTAAACCTAAAAATTGGCATGTCTGATTTAGAATGCCCTTTAAACCTAATTTTGAATATCAATCAGGAATATTTCTATCATAGAAAGAATAGAGTTTTTGCCCCAAACTCAAATTTTCACATCCTGATATCTTCTCAAACGAATGGCGTTAACCTTTAATGCTTCAAACTTTCATAGTTTGAAATATTAATGGTCTAAGACATTGGATTGCAAAGATATAAAGATATAGCTGGATAAAGATATAGCTGGATAAAGATATAGCTGGATAAAGATATAGCTGGATAAAGATATAGCTGGATTAGATATAGCTGGATAAAGATAAAGCTGGATTAGATAAAGCTGGATTAGATAAAGCTGGATTAGATAAAGCTGGATTAGATAAAGCTGGATTAGATAAAGCTGGATTAGATAAAGCTGGATTAGATAAAGCTGGATTAGATAAAGCTGGATTAGATAAAGCTGGATTAGATAAAGCTGGATTAGATAAAGCTGGATTAGATAAAGCTGGATTAGATAAAGCTGGATTAGATAAAGCTGGATTAGATAAAGCTGGATTAGATAAAGCTGGATTAGATAAAGCTGGATTAGATAAAGCTGGATTAGATAAAGCTGGATTAGATAAAGCTGGATTAGAAAATCTGAATATGTGGCAAAAACTCAGTTCCTTTGCTGATTACTTTACAATTTCTTTCATTGTCTCCGAATCGTAAATCCACAAATCGCAACTTATTTTTATATAAAACCAATTTTGATAAATGAAAGAAGAATCTCGTATTTATCTTTGATTAGGCAACGATTTTTTAAAGAGTCCCTTTAAGTGGGTATCGTTGATGGAACCCACTGAATATCCTCTTCTGTGTCTACAAACTGATATGTATTTTTATTTTAGATGTAGAAGATTAACAACCCAATCAAATCTGGTTACAAATGTTTAAAGTGTTGAGCTCTGAATCCTGTTGGAAATATGTATAAGAATCCTGTTAGAAATATGTATAATAATCCTGTTGGAAATATGTATAAGAATCCTGTAAGAAATATGTATAATAATTCTGTTGGAAATATGTATAAGACTCCTGTTTGAAATATGTATAAGAATCCTGTTGGAAATATGTATAAGAATCCTGTTGGAAACTGTGAAACCCGTTTACAACTTTACACCCGTTAAATAAAGATTTTTTCGCATTTTCTATTTTAGACTTTTTTGTTGAACTAAATATTTAAAATATTAAAAAATGTATAGCTGTTTACACCATTTTCTACAGATTTTGAATTAGAGTTGATCCAATATGAATAAAAGTGAAAATACATTGATACCAAAAGCCTGTGTACTTTTATGAGATAAACTCTCGATAAAATGCTAGATAAAGATATCTCTAATTTTATAATTTATGATGGTGTCAACACTAGATATCTCAAACCTGGACTATTTAATAGAACATAATTTATAATTTAAATTATCAAAGATTTTCACGATAGTTATTAGAGCAATATATTTTGTGGCGATTATTCAGTTTCTTTGAACCGATCAAATTGGAGAAAATAATTTCATATTTTTTATTTTGAAATACGGAATGTTTGCGCATAAACCAAATACACAAATAAACAAACTATCTGAAAACATGTTTTTTAATAACATATTTTGGAAACTTAGCACTATACAACAACATTCACGTCACGTGTATGTACGGCACCTTAATCATGTCAATTATAAACAATCATTATCACGTTTTATTTCATTTAAAAATGTCAAAGAAAAAAAAATAATGATTTTGAAGTTGGTTTAGATTTTAAGAAGTTAAACCCTTTCATTAAGTTTCCATTCCTTTTCTACTAAATGTTTTTAGTGAGAGAAATCAATCATTGCCATTTAAACCGTTATTTGAACCTTAATGAAGTAAATACCGTCGTTGTTTAAAATGGTTGAATTTTGACAATTTCCTTCTTCGAAACTGCTGGTTTTAACTCTGCTAGTCACTTTTTACAGTGGTCGGCGATTATTTCAATACAATGAAGGAGACCTTTTTATTTAATTTTGGATTGGAAATAATTAAATAGAAGATTTTTTATTTTAAATATTCTCTGTGTTGTCATGTTTTTTTTGTGTATCCTTGCTGATTAAAAGCTTGATATAAATCAAAATTGTAAATGGAATGTCGTCTTCATTACGTTGATAATGCGACCAAGAATGTTAGAGAAACCGCAAGAACTGTAAGTTCTGTTTTACTTGATCACAATTGATATCTCCATATTTGTTTAGTCTGGTTTCATAATGTTTAGTTTAAACCAGAGATGATTAAGTCAATGGGTCAGACTGTAGTCTTGTGCGTTCACCTGTCAGCTAGTTAACTCTCATTTTAAGTTGTGTTCATTGTGTTCCTATTCCTACATCTATTTAAAGGGTTGTGAGTTTTTATGAAATAATGATTTTATTTAATGTTGACTCGTTATTTATAAGAAAAGGACCAATTTGACTGAGTTAAGTTATAAGGTTAGGTTAGATAAAATACTTTGTGTATTTCATACAATCAGAAGATAGAATATCCTACTTCAAAACCTAGCTTTACAACTAAGTGGAGTATATAAGAAGAAGGAAACATTTTAGAATAAAGTAATGTAGATAGTGAAGGTATAAATTCTAACTTTTAAATGGAAAAAGTGAATAACTTATACAGCAAACTCATATATCTTTACAGATATCTATTCAGATGACTTTAACCCTTTTCACATTAAGCTTTCATATCTTTTCTACATTATAGGACAAATTCATCCTGTCCGGTCAAAAATATCAATTTCATTGAAACTTAATGTCGTAAAGAAATTTGAGGATTCAGTTAAGGTTCTTTTCTGAATATGAACACTTTTGATAATATTTACATTTACATTAGCATAAAATATTAGAAACAAAACTAAAAACAAAAATAAACAAAAATTAACCCAATCTGTTCTGAAAATAATATCTCATTGAACAAAAAAATTCTTAATTTTGCTAGTCCGATTTAAAATAATTGACCCTTTTTTATACTTTACGTAAACTAACTGCACTTTAAAATATTTGACCCGTTATAAAGATACATAACTTACGAATTGATCAGTAGATAAAATTTATTAAATTCTAATTTTTGGATATTTTTAAAAATCTTAATGCATGAAAATAAAACAGATTTAAATAGTAACAACAATTTAATTGAATAAAACTATTGATTATTAGAATATTCTGTTTAATGCCTTTTTAACAATCTTCTCCTTGTTCCAGTAATATACACTAGACACTCCGAGCAGTACAGTGCCAATACATACACAACCAAACACAGGCCTTGTCCACTAGAGAAACAAATAAATATAAATACAAACTCTAGTTTTCTAATTACGGCATATATTTTTGCAACCAGAGGGTTGACCAATAAACATGTCTGTTTAATGTAGAAAAATGAGGTTAGTAATCAGTTCAATTAATGCAAAATAAAGATTATTTTTATATTTTTCCTTCACAATTATATATTTCCTTAGTAATTATTAAATCATCTATATTTTTGTACAAATTTTCACTTTTAAAACATTATCAGGGATTTTTTTCAGTTTTCAGTTTGATACTTTATTAATAACTAGCTGAAGGGCCCGGCGTTGCCCGTGGGAAAAAAAATCACTTTTTTTAACCTAAAACACCCCCCGGCCACCCATGAGTGTCCACAAAAAATGTCAGCCCATTCGGTCCAGCCGTTTGGCCGGCTATAGGCAACATATATATATATATATATATGAATGTCTTGTCTTATTTTATAGATACAAGTCTTTTTAGAAGAAATGATATTATTAGAAACACTGGTGTTTTTCACTTTAGAATTGAATAAACATGAAGGAACTGTAGAGTGTGGAGTGTAGAGTGTATAGTGTAGAGTGTAGAGTGTAGAACGTGTAGAGTGTAGAGTGTAGAGTGTAAAGTGTAGAGTGTAGAGTGTAAATGTAATTTCAAGTAACTCTCAATTTATAAATTGTAATGTCAGATTTCTTTGATATTTTTTTCTGAAAAGAAATAGTGCACTAGATATATCACTCAGCTTCTCTTCAAAGTTTATCATTTTCAATTTGTTTTCTCTATACAATAACCTGCATTTTTTATATCTAGATATATTTTACATTATTAATGAGAACAAGGTTAAAGGGTACTGCTGTGAATCTGATATGTCCTCTTGTAGATGGACTGAATTGCTTGAAATTACAAAATTAGTTCCTTTGACCGTAAAGATGAAAAAGGGGACAAAATTCCCTCCCAAAAAAATATCACCCCAACTTCATTATTTTTTTTATAAAGTTAGAACTTTTTGCTGTGAATGTTATTCATTAATCTGATTCCTCTTCGATATCTCGTGGTGGCTAATAACCTGAAGGGATATCCCGTGGTGGTAATAACCTGCAATGATATCCCGTGGTGTTAATAGCCTGAAGGGATATACCGTGGTTGTAATAGCCTGAAGGGATATCCCGTGGTGGTAATAAACTGCAATGATACCCCGTGGTGTTAATAGCCTGAAGGGATATCCCGTGGTGGTAATAACCTGAAGGGATATCCCGTGGTGGTAATAACCTGAAGGGATATTTCGTGGTGGTAATAACCTGCAGGGTTATCCCATGGTGGTGATAGCCTGAAGGGATATCCCGTGGTGGTAATAGTCTGCAGGGATATCCCATGGTGGTGATAGCCTGAGGGATATCCCGTGGTGGTAATAACCTGCAGGGTTATCCCATGGTTGATAGCCTGAAGGGACATCCCGTGGTGGTAATAACCTGAAGGGATATCCCGTGGTGGTAATAACCTGCAGGGATATTCCGTGGTGGTGATAATATGTAGGGATAACTAAAATGAAGGGATCAAGCATTGAAACTCAAATTTAAAAGTGCCAACATTAGATATCGAGATCTATGTTTAAGATTAACGATTCAAAAGTTTATTTTTCTTTATCTTTATAGTATTTTCTCAGAACATCACATAATGAAGATTAACTATGATTGATGAACAAAATCTATACACAAATATTAAGTTTATCTATCTTTAGATATAAACATTTCATTTTTCTCAGAATGCATGATTGCAAGGTAACTGTGAATTGTAAATTCATATAGTAAATGGACATAAATTGCTAGTGGTAATAATTACATCTTTATTTTGATCATAAATATTAGGATTATGTATTTCCGGATTTGTATCAAATTCAAATTTTTTGAATTAAGAGATAGTGGTTTATACAATTCTTGTGAGAATACTTTTTCCATGATCCCTTAGATAAAAGTTTTTGCAACGAACATAATCAATTTGAACCTCTAATTTTATAAAGTGTTTTACTAACCTTAGTTTTTACGGCATATTCGATGGCTCCGCCAATAATTACAGATCCGTTGAGAAGTCCAAAATAGGTCATCACCTTTCTTCGATTCTCCTACAAATATTTACTCAATCATCTAATTTGACCATGACTATTTTTAGTATTATCTGTTTAATCAAATTTGCAATTAATAAAGAATAAAACGAAACACATATTGGTTTATGTACTCTAGCAAAAAGTCACTGAACAAAATTAATAAAAAGAATTTTTAGTTCTGCTGACAAATATATATTTTCAATTAAGCCTAGCTTACCTTCACTCGTTTAGCCATAGCCTTTATATCCTCTTTGACCTCAACAATTTTTTCTGCATATTTTTCTTCCTCTCTCCTCCTTCTAGCAGTCTTTTTCTTACCTCGCCCTACCATTCTGAAAAAATTGTTCAATAATAATTTAATTTGCGGATTTTTTGATATTTTTCTCAAGGATTTCTAACTACAATTTTGTCAAATACTTGTTTATTAGCTAAATGTATTCATCACTAAATATACAGATAACGATAAAAATATTTTTTTTCTCGTTAGGAACGTTCTAATTACAAATTAAGTAATTAAATCTAAGGACGGCATTCAAAATACTGAAAATTTTGAAAGAACTGTACATATTTAAAATCTTGTGCAAACTTTCCTGGAAGAGTATATTTTTAACTGCATATGAAACACATTTAAATTTTAGATAAGGTACAAATTGTACAGTGTTTTAGTATAAATATTTTATGAGGCACCTTACATGATCTTCAGTTTTTGCAAATACGGGGAATTTTTCCCAGTTTAGTGTTATATAGAAATTTCGGCAAACGCCTTGAAACCATACCAGAGAATTAAATGACGTTGAGAATTGAATTTGTTTTTTTGTCATCGCAGTCTGAGAATTTCTGAAATTTCCCAGTCTTTATGTTTCGTGCTGTAGATCCCTAGTGTTTTACTGATAGCAAAGCGTATTTACTTTTTTAAAACATTCAAACGTTTTGTCATGCTTGAATACTTTTTTGAAATTTAGTTTTTAATAATTTGCTTTTTATCAAATAGTACCAACTGTGTTTGGAATAAAAGGCTGTTTAAGTTTCATTTAGTTAAACCGCGATGGATTGATGAACGTTTTTAGTATTCTGGGTCTCTGAAACTCCATGAAACATATTTGAGTGCTTGGATTGGCTAAATTGTGTTACTTATTCTCAACTACAGTTTGCGTAATTTGGAGCATTAGTTAATCAGGTGTTACAAAATACTCATGACATACATACTTAAATGATGTAACGATTTTAGTATTAAAATGTCTGCTTGGCATATTGAAGTATTGGACGAATTGATATAATGGAAACCGAATACCACATCCTAAAGATTTCACAAAAAAAAAAAAACAATAAAAAACGATCATTTCTGGTTTGTTCCTTGTAATAAAGCTTGGATTAGCACTTTTTTCAAAGTACATTTAGTAATTCATTAAGGTGAGTCATTCGGTGACCTTTTTATCTTTTTTTGAAATAAAATATTTGTAATTTACAATTCTCGTGTCCGGACATTTTTTTCAGGAAATGGAATTCCGGGATAATTCCGAAAAAGAGAAAATCGGTAAATTTACGGTAAACGAAATGGAAAATAGAAACTGAACGTTCTATTCTGTAAAACGGAATATTTAAGGGTTCCATTTCGTAAACCGGAAAAATAGCGCCAACTCATCCAAACATTCAGGATATTAAGCAGTTAAGGGGGTCAATGGATATCCATTAGTTTTTTCCATTCTCAAGAATAAATAATGTATTGGCTTTAACTGAAGAGTAAAATGTGAAAAAGAAAAAAAGGTTGGTGCACAAATAATCTGACAGGAGAACAGATTCCAGAATTACTTTTCCATAAATAATCTGACAGGAGAACAGATTCCAGAATTACTATTCCATAAATAATCTGACAGGAGAACAGATTCCAGAATTACTATTCCATAAATAATCTGACATTCCAGAATTACTATTCCATAAATAATCTGACAGGAGAACAGATTCCAGAATTACTATTCCATAAAAGGCGAAATTCGAAAAGACAATCCGCTAATCTGCCCTACATACATATGTATTGACTAATATATATTCTAGATGACTATTGGAAGTTTTATTTATTGAAAAAAAACAAAACAATTTGAAATAAAAATTGATTCAATTCAATAAATACAATGATACATATACCATAGTTAATAACATAAACCTTAGAGATTGTCATATTAAAGGCTTACTTTGGTGAGTAGATACATTGAACTCCAAAAAGTACGGAAACGTAACCAGTTTTATTACATTTTACAAGATATAGTAGCACGTTATTAAAACTTGATGTAGTTTTTAGAAAACAAAACTCAGAACAAAAAAAAATTGAATTCAAAAGTTTACATATTTTTATCAATATTATTCTATAGAAAAGTGTTGCAAGGTTGGGCATCTGTCAAGAACGAATTCCTCTGAGTTGATGACAGATCTTGTAATTGTAGGGTTTGCAGTGGGTAAAGAAGCTGAGACCATGTATAGTTTTATACAGCTGATAACTGTTATCATCTCGCAGGAATTCTGTTTCAACTGGTGCCCAACCCTGCGTACACTTTTTTGTATCCCATAATATCAAAATAAAAAAAAATGAAACTTTTTATAAGTTACGGGTGGGAGGGGGGGGGGGGTTAATTTAGTTAAATGTTAGAATGTTAGGGATGTTTTTACATCCATATTTCAATATTGAATTTATTTTAGCCCTGCAGCTTAATAATTAAAAGTTATATCTGATTTTTTTAAACACCGACCCGCCGTTTGACTGTCCTCCACTCTATCATATACATGAAAAAATTCAAAATTAATTAAAAACTATGAAGTTAAAAAGTAAAGAAGTTTAAGCGTTTTAATGTAAGCTGTTTTTAAGTTATTTAGAAAAAAATACATGGGGTGGAAAACACCCCCCCCCCTGCAGCCGTGATAGGGTCAACTAAATTTTCTGAAACCTTAATTTCGTTTCAATTAGTGTTAAATTCAGGGGCGGATACAAGGGGGGAGGAGGGACATTCGCCCCCCCCCCCTGAGATTTCGAGGCGAAAATGTTCCCAATTTGATAAATGTTATTGTTAACGATAAATTTAGAATTAGAAATTTGTAAGTTAAGTTATAATATTGTTCATATCTAGTAATGTTCCTTAATCAATACTCATTTATCAAAATTGTAATATTGTTCCTAATTTTCATGCATTTAAGTATAACTATAATTTCTTTTTGTTCTTAAATTGCTAATGTTCCTATTTTTGTTCCTGTTCCTGTGTCCGACCCACCTTAAATCCCTGTCCTAATCCTATATTTTTGTTCCTAATTCCTGAACAATCTTTTTATTGTTCCTAAATTCCTGTCCTAATCCTTTATTTTTGTTCCTAATTCCTGAACAATCTTTTTATTGTTCCTAAATCCCTGTCCGAATCCTTTAATTTTGTTCCTAATTCATGAACAATATTTTAATTGTTCCTAAATTCCTGTTCTAATCCTTTAATTTTGTTCCTAAAATTTAAAAATCTAGTTTTTTAGTCTTCAGTCATTAATTTTGACTCTTTTTGAGTCTTTTAAGTAAAAAAAAAAATTCCCCTGCGGCACGATTTTTGTTCCTAATTATCCATTTTTTTTTCCTAAAAAATCTTCCCCCCCCCCCCTCACTTAAATCCTGTATCCGCCCCTGGTGTTAATCTTGTTCTTGGAATATGTAATAAAAAACTGGTTTCGTTTCCGTATTCACAAGAACTCAATGTACCTACTCACAAAGATTCAGCCTTTGATCCCGACCTAAAAGTTTTCAGAGAGTATCGTAAACTTAACGTGCCCCATCTCATCAAATTACATAATATTTCATCTTTTTTAATTCGTGTTTTCCTCTTTTTCCAAATTTTCAGATTTTAAACAATCACAAATTCAAAAAATCTTTAAAGGGAGAGACTTGCTTTCATGCTGTGTATGTAGGTTGTTAATCGTTTTTGAAACCGATCGTTAAACGATCGTTTTTTGTTTCGTTTTTTAATCGTTTTCAAAAACGATGGTTTCGTTTTTGGAAAAAACGATCGTTATTAAAAACGACCCACTCGTTTTGAACTTTTAGAAAACGAATAACGATCGTTTTTTTAAAAACGATTTGTGACCGTTTTTTATACGATTGTTTTTTTTAAACAATCGCTTTTGTAAAAACGATAGTTTTTGAAAGAAAAACATTTTATTGACAATTATGTTAACGATTGTTAACGAAGGGTCGTCGTTAAACATGTCTGGATTCTTTGATTTGTGTTAAACCGATTCCAATGTACGTCTTTCCATTTAGGTATCGCGATTTTTTTCTTTAAATCATAAGTTTTACTCCTCAATTATTGCCAATATATTTGAGAACAGAAANTAAAGTAAAGGTAGGATAGAAAGGAAATGAAGGAAAGGGGGATAGAAAGGAAATACAGTAAAGTAAAGGTAGGATAGAAAGGAAATGAAGGAAAGGGGGGATAGAAAGGAAATACAGTAAAGTAAAGGTAGGATAGAAAGGAAATGAAGGAAAGGGGGATAGAAAGGAAATACAGTAAAGTAAAGGTAGGATAGAAAGGAAATAAAGGAAAAAGAGGGGGGATAGAAAGGAAATAAAAGAAAGGGAGGGTGGGATTACAGAATAATAGGCTATTTAGGAAAAAAGAATAAAAAAGGGAAAGGATGGATGGGCAAATATTCAGGGAAAGAAAAGAAGTGTAAAGAGAAAGAGAATGTTTGAAAATGGAAAATGAAAGAGTAGATTAAAAAGAATGAATGGCATTTTCAACCGTGGAAAAGAAAAAAAATGAAAAGTTGAAAAGGAGAACATGAAAGGAATCAAGAAAAAAGGAAATTAAGTTTTTTTTCAAAAAACTTTTATCATTTATCATTCTTCGCTATAGAACAGTTTTTTAGCTGCAGATGATAGAATTTGAGCATAGAATGCATTTAGATATATGTTAAAATATTAGAGAAAAATTAAAACCAGAAAAATATGAGATAAATATTATTTTTGTTCCTTCTTTTACACGCTTACTAGGATTTAATTAAAGAGAATAGAATATATATTAGAGTGGAATTTACTAGAAAAAAGTGTAAAACGGCCATTTTGTTGTACTGTTTCCATACTGCAGGTGTACTTCACATATTTGTGCTATATAGCCTTTTGGGCCCTGGAACAAGGGATGAAAATATTGTCTACCCTGGTTAACCAAGAGATAGAAAAATGTCCTACCCTGGTTAACCATGAGATGAAAATATTGTCTACCCTGGTTAACCAAGTGATGAAAATATTGTCTACCCTGGTTAACCAAGTGATAGAAAAATGTCCTACCCTGGTTAACCAAGAGATGAAAATATTGCCTACCCTGGTTAACCAAGGGATGAAAATATTGTCTACCCTGGTTAACCAAATGATAGAAAAATTTCCTACCCTCGTTAACCAAGAGATGAAAATATTGCCTACCCTGGTTAACCAAGGGATGAAAATATTGTCCACCCTGGTTAACCAAGTGATAGAAAAATGTCCAACCCTGGTTAACCAAGAAATGAAAATATTGCCTACCTTGGTTAACCAAGGGATGAAAATATTGTCTACCCTGGTTAACCAAGGGATGAAAATATTGTCTACCCCCGCAACATCAGCTCATTGTTTCCGGTGGGGACTTTTCAGTGGTGGACTTTAGCTGGCGCCTATATACTACACTGGCGCCTAAACTATACACCCGGCGCTTAGTGTTGCGGCGCCAACACTACAGTTGCCTGTATGTATTGTTAACAAGATCTTGTGGTTACATATTTTCCCCGCTATGCGTGAATTTGAAAACTAGTGAATTCTTGGAATTGTTGTTTTATGCCAAACCATGGACGGAACTATGTTCATGAATCAGTGAATAAATAGTGAACAAAGTAAATTAAAATGTTAAGTTTTATTCTTATGTTTACTTTATTTTTCGCTTTGGCGGATTCAAGGGTTCGAACATCGGGACGACTTATAGGTACATTTTTTTAATTTAAAAAATCCTTTTTTATTTTTATACTTTAGGTGCCAAAGAATTCAGTGCCCGTTAATTTCTGGTTCGGAAATTTGGAAAGATTGCTATGTGAATAGTTGAAAAAAGGTCCTGAGAAATGTAATTTCTTAGAGGGACGTACTTTTAAATGCATAAATCTCCATCTCTTAGAAAATTCATTATTTTCGCTCATTTAGTGGTTTCTTCGTAAACGTTATTTGCACATTTCTGATTCAGAAACAAAGGAGAAAATTATAAAAATTTAAAAATGTTCAAGCTCGAAACACAACGATATCTTCACACTGATAAAGATTCAAAGATTAAAAGGAATTGAATCTTTGCCACAAACTCTGATTTTCTAATCCCAATATCTTTGGAACCCAATTTCGTAAACCTTTGATATTTCAAACTTATAGTTTTTAATCTAACAAAAGTCATAGTTTGAAATATCAAAGGTTTACGAAATTGGGTTCCAAAGATATTGGGATTAGAAAATCAGAGTTTGTTGCAAAGAGCCAATTCCTTTTAATGGAAGATAACTTCCTTATAATTTCAAAAACAGTTGCTGTCAAGTATATGATTGGTTTTATGTTCTTTGTTATAAATATATGCGGTCAACTCAAATGAGAAAATCCGCAAAACCATTCCAATCTGATTCAAAATGGATGAAGAAGCAATTAAAGAATTGTACCTTTAAGTATTTAACAGTAAAAAGACTCCTTTCTTTTTGAGTGGATACGCTTTTTCAGAATTAGTTTTTTTTAATTATTAAATAACAACAACGAAAAATAAAGTAAAAATTATACAGTAATCTATAAATTGGATGGCTAGGAACATATTTCTCAAAAGAAATTTTTTAATAAATCAATGCTAAAATCGATTATTTCGTTTTCATTATTATATTGAATTTCTAATTTTCTTAGAAAGGTCGTCTTTTCAATAATAATTCTAGAAAATCTGCGAAAATCTTTGTGAATAATAAGAAACCAGAATAATGAGATAATAGAAGCTAATAATTGAATAAGATTACTTATTTTCGATTAATTTTTATTTTCTCAACATGTTCCTATACATGACGTCTGTGGGTTTATTGTAGAACTTTTTCACATTTTATGTCGTCTTTATTTAATAATTTAAAAAAAACTAATTCTGAAAACGTATCCACCCCCAAAGTAGGAGTTTTGAGCATCGAATTTGCGCTCAACCTCAGGATTTACAGATCTTTAAAAAGTTTAATGTGTCTCAAAAAAATTCGAAAGCAGGTTTCCACAATACTGCATACTCAGTTCAACTACCTTACATTGCCGGTCACTCCCTTTAAAACAATTAAGATTTTCAAATGTATTCTATATTTGGTATAGGGAACTGCAATTTCAGGTAAAGGGTAATTTTTAAAGATTTGAAAAAAAAGAATTCTCTTTGAAATTAAAATCGCCTTGTGACGAAATTCTTTAAAACAATTTTCCGCAGTGCACGATTTATAATTGCGAGATTTTTTTTTTTTATTTGATATTGAATACGATTTTTTGAGATTAAAAAATATAATAATGTAAGAGATGGTGTTAAAGCAACGTGATCAGACGGAACTACATAAAATGATTCTTGGAAATTTGTTCAATGTTCGTTGACGTCAAGTAAATTATGAATATCAACGTTTTTTTTTTCTCGAGAATTAAAAAAAATTTAATAAGAATTTTCAAAAGTACTTCTTTAGAAATAATATAGCTTAATCATGTATAAAAGACCATTATCACTAATGTTGAATACCTTATTCATTTAATGTTTTGAGATTTTTTGCTTAGAATTTACGAAGACTTGTAATAAACTTTATAAAAAGAATGAACAAAATATGTTTTTCCTTTGGCGCTAAAAAAAACAATATTTCTTTTTTATGTATATATTAATGAAATTTTAAAGATACAATTAATAAATTCAATTTGCTTCGTATTCGATGCATAATAACTATTTATATTTATAATTATACTGGTTGAAGGGAGGCGAGGTATAGAGTATTTGAGCCAAAAACTTTTCTTTTTCGAGAGGGTTCGAGATTTTTTCGATGAGATTTTTAACCAGAGCGTAGCGAGGGTTAAAAATCTCATCAAAAAAGTCGAGAAAAAAAGAAATATTTTTGGCGAAAATACTTTACGAGCCCCCTTTAACCAGTAGGGTTTTAGATATTTTTATGCCCTGGAAAGAAAGAAGTATGAATTCATATGTAAAAACTAACAAAATAAATAAATACACAAAAATGGCACAAAAATATAAAGTTTAAACTTTTAAAAGTACATATTAAAGAAAATCCCAAATATTAATAGCGGAAGATGATTATTCAAAAGAATACGGGAACTTCATAGCAAAAAATGCGCAAATATTGAAAGGTGTACTGAGTTGGGGTGAAATTTTACTTTTAAACCCATAAGAAAATAGTGAAAATTTTACTCCAGCTCAACTTGGAATATATGGGTTACAGGATATGTTCACCATAGATTAAAAAGAGGCCACCCAGGGCATAAATAAACTTTGTGATTAAATGTTATTTATTTTCATGAGATGATTTGATTAGATGAATATCCTCCTTATGTACAATGTATTGCAACGTGTCCATAGGAAACTAAATCAGAAGGTTTTTTTGGGAACATATTCATTTACGTCCATCTGAATCAAACTATGAATATTATGATTTTTCTCGAGAATAAAAATGTCATTAAAATTTTCCAAAGAACCTGAACATATAAAATCTCGAATAAAAAATGAATCTTTTCGAGTAAAACTCACTTTACACACAAAAAAAGTTAATCACCAACAAATTGTGCTTTGAACATTGTGCTTAAAATTGTCAAATATCCGTAAAAATAAATAAATGAATACTTCTGCAAATTATGTAATTCCTTTTATTTTTTGAATAATTTTCAATTCTAAGAGTTTCATTCAATGTCTCTGATGCATTAATATTTATGTCAATTTTAAAGAAAACCAAAGCAATTAAAGTAATCAATTTTCAGCTAGAAAAATAAGGGCCTCTCATTCATTACTGATTTTACAAAGGTTTAGCCGCAATTGCTGTGAATTATACAGACCATTGTATTAAAATAGGATATCTTGAGATTTCGTATGCAGTCCCTAACTTTCAGTCTTTATCTATATATACCAGGGGGTAAGAAATAGAAGGAAGATATAACTGACGCGGCCCGCCCTACCATATGATTATACATGATTTGCGGACGGTACTTCATTTGTATAAGAAATATTTGTCTGATGTAACAATTACTGCGTATACAATAACCTATTCTGAATATTTCATATACAAATAGAGTACCGTCTGCAAAGCATGTATAATCATATGGTAGGGCGAACCGCGTCAGTTATATCTTCCTTTTATTCCTTACTCCCTGGTATATACATTTAAAGTTGTAACCTCTGTTTGTTTATCTTTCTGTCTGTGTGTCCGATCATTAGAAACCCCGGACCGATTTGCCTCAATTTTTGATTGGGGAACTCGGGAGATACGTTTAGTGGGTCGACTTTTGACGGGAAAATTGGGCAACGCTGGGTTTTCAAGCTAGTTTGATATACTTTTAATGATCTTATCACTTTTAGGTTTAACAGAAAATATTAAAATTAAAGGACTTTTCAAGATTATTATTGTTTTATTAATTTAAATATCTAGTTACTTTAAATAATTACTTGATCATAAAAAATCTCCATTTTTATTAAATGAATTATTAATTAATTAAATTAATAAAAAACTAATGAATGTATATTTCAGCTCGACCCAGAATAGAGAAGTGTAATGCTCGACCTAAACACTATCTGGACAAAAGAACAGGACATTACTATTTCTTCTCAGGTACACACGGTCGTACACACGGACATCCTCACGGACTTACCTTAAGGGAAATATATACACAGACGCATACACGGACATACACCCCGACGTACATTTGAACGATGAATTCCACCTTCTCTTCATACTTCATGAGATTTTTCCTAAACCTCTTTGTGAATTTTTAAAATTGATAATATTTGGTAGACAATAAATGGTTTGTAGTTTGTACAATGAACATTTTAGATTGTCATGTACACTGGATATATTTCCCTACAAAGCTATTTAGGACTTACAGGATTGTTTTTAAATGCATATGTTTGAAGTTTTAAATTTGCTTTTCAAATGAATTGAGTTTTGGTCACAAACTCTAATTTTGTAATCCATATATCTTTGCAACCTGATGGAGTAAACCTTTGATATTTCAAACTTAGATTACTTGATCAAAAAGAGTTAATAGTTTGAAATATCAAAAGTCTACAACATAGAGTTGCCAAGATATAGAGATAAGAAAATCAGAGTTTGTGGCAAAAACTCAATTTCTTTCTTTGCGAAATTATTTGCTAACCTATAGATTAAACCTTTAAGTCGTAGTATTTGAAGATTTTTTGGTTGGTCGTCATGTAAGCCTTATTCTTGATGGTTTGATCCTGTACAAGGAAAAATACGTTAAAATTTGATCAATGAGTTCTCAATATTTTCAATTCAGAGATTATGCAGACAGTATTTCTTGTATTATAAGAGAAGTTACATCTTATTATATGTGTATATTCTCCGGGATACCCCTAAACCGTAAGAATCACTCAACGTTACCCTTGAAAACTTATCTTATAAAAAGAAATCTTCGTTTTTCTAAGCTTAGAAGGGTTTAATTCGGATAATTCCTATCGGGTTTCCAGCAGTATATGTATTAATTTATTTAATTATTTTTTTGTTGAAACTTTCTTATTTTTAAATGTAGTTTTTTATAAAAAAGACTTGTGTTGTGAGTTGTATATTTATTTAGTATATAAAAAGAAGAAAATTTTACAGCATACAAAAATGTTCAGATCGTTTCTCAAGGTACCATTGGGAATCGGTCATGCATCTCTATTCATGGGGGTCCTTTGAATTTACTTGTACAGTCCCTTTAAGGGGGTAAAAAAACATCTGTAAACGCTTATAGACGTGGGACATCTTATCTCAATCTGTGCAATCTATGGTTATATTTTACATAGTTTAGACGTGGGACATCTTATCTCAATCTGTGCAATCTATGGTTATATTTTACATAGTTTAGACGTGGGACATCTTATCTCAATCTGTGCAATCTATGGTTATATTTTACATAGTTTAGACGTGGGACATCTTATCTCAATCTGTGTAATCTATGGTTACATTTTACATAGTTTAGACGTGGAACATCTTATCTCAATCTGTGCAATCTATGGTTATATTTACATAGTTTAGACGTGGAACATCTTATCTCAATCTGTGCAATCTATGGATACATTTTACATAGTTTAGACGTGGGACATCTTATCTCAATCTGTGCAATCTATGGTTACGTTTTACATAGTTTAGACGTGGGACATCTTATCTCAATCTGGGCAATCTATGGTTATATTTTACATAGTTTAGACGTGGAACATCTTATCTCAATCTGTGTAATCTATGGTTACATTTTACATAGTTTACACGTGGAACATCTTATCTCAATTTGTGCAATCTATGGTTACATTATACATAGTTTAGACGTGGAACATCTTATCTCAATCTGTGCAATCTATGGTTATATTTTACATAGTTTAGACGTGGAACATCTTATTTCCATCTGTGCAATCTATGGTTACATTTTACATAGTTTAACATATTTTGCATATTATTAAAGTGAACAAAGAGGGCTTTGAAGTTTTATCTGTTTCTAAAAAATAAGTTTTTAACCAAGAATATATTATACAAGAATAATATAATATGAAGGAAGATCAAGGTTGGGAAAGGTAAAGAAAGGAGACAAACTTTCGGAAAATAGTAGAATCATTAGGTTGGTCGTTAGTTAAACTTTATCAGTTCAATCTCGGTCTCACTATTCACTAGCTGAGGAACTGATTCAGCCATACTATTTTCATACCTCGCTATTCATTAGTTTCTAACTCTTGCCTTAAAAATATTCAGCTTCCAATTTGAGAACTTTTTTATTGACAGAACTTATGATAAAAATATAATTATTAACTCTTGGCCAAGGAGACGCAATGGGTTAATCTAATTTTATGATAAGTTTAATTTAGCTCTTTCTAATCCAAAAATTACAAGTTAATTTACATATATCAGCAAACATAATTAAATTTAAAGTATTTCACAAAAACTTTTCAAGTTCAGAAATCTCTTTTGCATTGCGGCTTTTGTACCAAGAAACTTTTAAATTGAGAGGATCCGAAGAAACATTATGTCACACCATTTAAGGGTCTGTACCTAGAAACTTCAAAGTTAAGAGGATCCGAAGAACCATTAAGTCACACCATTTAAGGGTCTGTACCTAGAAACTTCAAAGTTGAGAGGATCCGAAGAAACATTAAGTCACACCATTAAAGGGTCTGTACCTAGAAACTTCAATGTTGAGAGGATCCGAAGAACCATTAAGTCACACCATTAAAGGGTCTGTACCTAGAAACCTCAATGTTGAGAGGATCTGAAGAACCATTAAGTCACAGCATTAAAGGGTCTGTACCTAGAAACTTTAAAATTGAGAGGATCTGAAGAAAAATCGAAAAATAAAACGGTCTGTCAAAATAATTTCACCAATAAAGTAACAACGACCAGCAACATATCGTTTTTTATGTTAAAAGTGTCATAATTCCTTTGAAAGTCTGCAGCACATAAATCCGTAATTTCCTTTCACAGAGAAACCACAATTGAAAATCGATCCTGTTCAGAGAGAAAAAGAATGATATTCAACCTGGAAAATACTAGGGTACCGTTGATCACTCAGATAAATGAAAAATAAAGTAAAATTGAGTCTTCAGTCTGTTTAACTATATATTCTATCATTTAGAATCCTTGATGTGTGCAAACCATGGTTTAAAACATGACCAATATTTGACGAACCATTGTTTACAAACAAATTTAACAACCATAACAATGTGTTATCCAGTAAGAAAAAAAATTTATGAGAAATTTGACAATTACTTCTCAAAAACTAAAGTTAAAACTAGTGTTGTATAGTTATAGCAACTCGCGACATGTTGTTAATTTCAAATTTTGTACACAAAAAAAAATCTTATTTTGGTGTCTACGTTAAAGAAGCTTACAAGTAATTAAAAGAATAACATCTTTGTAACAAACAAGCAAAATTCTGTCATCCTTATATCCGTGTAACATAATGATGTAAAACTTTGATATTTTAAACCTCTAGATTATTTGATCCAACAGAATTTAAAGTTTGAAATACCTAAGGTCTCCGACTCAAACCCTAGTTTAAAACAAAAAAATAATTAAAGTTAAAATATGTAGAATTATAGTGGCATGGTGGAGTAGGGGGGGGGGGGGCTAATGTTAAAGAGTTTAAAGTTGTAAACTAATGGTCTCAGTCTTTTATTTATTTATCTTCATAAATGTGTTCAACTGGTCTGGTCTACACAAATTACAAAATAAATTTCTTTTCAACTTTAACTGAAAAGCAAATGAAAAAAAAGTTGAAAGATCTATCAGAATTCAAAGTTTTATATATCAAAGGTGTACTATCATCAGGTTGCGTAGATATAAGGATATAAAAAACAAGAATTAATGGAACTGCGTAAATGCAGTAAATGGTCTATCATTTTAAAAACCAATTATTTTGAGTTGTGGTTTCTCTACAAAAGTGACTCGCGTATTACTACAGACAGGAAAAATCAGAAATAATCACTTTAAACCTAAAAAACGACAATTTCTTCCACATTTTCTATTAAACAAAGGTTTCAAGGGTATACTCTTGTGATTCTGTCATTTTCATCTTTGCATGGAGGGTCACTTGAAATTACGCCTAGAGAGCCTTTAGGAAAAATATTTTTATATTTTTTATATTTTTTTGACTATTGCTGAACCTAGCTATAGCATCTTGAATCTCTAAATCAAACATAAGAAAAAAGAAGATTCCAAAATAATGATTGCTTTGTTTTCTATACACAGAGGTAAAAATACTGCTTTCTAACGTCACACAAACAGTTTTTTAATGAATAAGGTAAAAATCTAAAAATATTTGTTCAACCAACGTCATGAAATATTATGCTAATCATTATCTTTAATTATAAATTATTACTATTATTAAAAATATCCCTCTGACATCAGCAGAAACGCTCCAAACTACAAAGTAGTATGCTTCATTCCTAGTGCAGCTTTGTTACCGCGTAGCTCAGAAAAGAAAAATGTATCAGTTACGCATCAGAAATTCAAAACATTTTTGTTCTTCTCAATATCTTTAATTAATGGAATGCATGTATTGTTTCAATCTAATTGTATTTTTAAAGCATTGGACAAGCGTTAACATTTTAGTTTCATGTAGTTGTAAACAGTTAATACATTTTATTAATCGTCAATTAAATGAAAATAAGTGAACTAAGTGAAATAAGTGAGTTTATGCAAAATGTATAAAAAAAATAACTCTATTCAGTTGTAGAACTTTTGATTTTTTAGACTAATAAATTCTGTTGGACCAAAAAAAGTTTGTGATTTAAACCAGCTAATTTGCACAGATGTCGAAATTGAAAAATTCGAGTTAGCTGCAAAAATTCAATTCCTTTAAATTCAGAAGGGTGAACTTCAATATTATGTCTTGTTCATCCTACTTTAAAAAAGATTAAAAAAAACTATAAAAAATAAAATAAAATTGAAAATCATACAAAAATAACCAGACAACAATAGAATAGGAATACGACATTATAGCATTATTAAAGCGTATTTTGTTACAGAGTAAATAGTTTTACTAGACACTTATGAAATCATTAACTTAGTAAAATGGGTCTGTTTACACTGCACAGTTGCTGCGTCTTATGCTCATTGGACTTTTTAAAGCTATAACTTGATTCTGAAAGTCGTCTTTCTTATTCAAAGTTTTCGGTTAATCACTGAAGATAAATTTCAATAAAGTACATTTTGAAGAAATTCAAGCAAAACAGCTAGATCTAAGACCCAACCTGACCCTAGACTTAAAATGTTTTGATTGTTAGATTGTTGTGTGGTCTAACAAATGAAAGTTAGAAAGTGCATTTATGAAAGTTTAATTGTTTAATTAGATTCCTTTAATCATTCTTGAAATTGTTGCAGTGGTAAAGCTTTAAAAAGTTTGTAAGAATATTATTCAAGTCTAACCGTTACAAAAAGTGATAAATAGAAAGTCCACGTCTACGTCAGCATGTATGCATCAATGTTTTGTTTGTTAAAATTAGATTTTTTCTTTCCTGAAATTTTTTCTCCAGCTTCACTCTCTAATTTTTACAAAAAAGGCAAAAAAATCACCAAAATATTCTCCAGCAAAAAGATATAATTTTACGCGACTTAAAGGGACTGTAAACGAAAAATAAAAGGGGGTATTGGTTGAAACCTGAGTATCTTAGGAGTTGATTTAGACCCATAAGAGTTCTATCTGATGTTCCTGTCTCGAGAAATTGATATAAAACTGTGTCAAAATTATACCAAAATGTATATATGTAAGATTTTGTATAAGATTCGAAGTATATAAACAGATCATATTCAACAAATACGCAACCAATCTGAAAACAACGATATTCCATGAGGAGCCTGAGAAACTCAAGCTTGCTTCTATTATTATTTAAATTTAATAATTTTTTATTGTTAATAGAAATAATTGATAAAATTATTTATGCGTCCGGAACATGTCACCAGAACTCCAACCAATGGCAATGCAGAATTATTGTCACATGTCTCCGTCTGTATCACGTGACCAGTATACTGCACTGTCATTGGAAGGAGTTCTTGTCACATACGGACGTATATCTTACATATATACGTTTTGGTTTATAATTTTGACACAGTTTTATGTCAATTTCTCGAGACAGGAACATCAGATAGATGTCTTATAGGTATCGTTCAAAACCTGAGATTCTCAGGTTTCAGCCTATACCCCCTTTCATTTTTCCTTTACAGTCCCTTTAAGTTCCCAGATTTAGATGTACACAGTAGCTTTTTAATCATATCAAAAGACCATCGAAGTGATGAAAAAAGCCACTTCTTTTTTAGAGTTAAAACCCTATTTTCTTTATTACTATTTTCGCATTTCAAGGAATTTCTCAGTTTTAGAAATTTTTAGAAAGATATTTATTTCTGGAGAAATTTGAAGAAATTTTTAGATTTTTGAAAATATGTAACCACACGCTACGTGTTTAGTTTCATGAATCAAAATATATTAAATATCAGAGAAAATTCAAAGTTCTTGACTTCCCTTCGTTAGGATACATATTATTTGTAAGGATAGCTTAATTAATATCTCCATCTTTACATATACCAGCTGGGGTAAACCATTGATATTTCAAACTTTGATTATCTGATTTAGCAAATGCATTCTTATTTTGTTTAAGTCATCAAAAGTAGAAGGGTGGTTTTTGTTTTTAAATTTATCGTTTAAAAGTCGGATTCAGGCCCTGAATTCATAAATTTAAATGAAGGAATAGCTGGAAGGGTTTATTTTCAATTTGAATTCTGTTCATCATGTTACTGTTCAGATTTCTGACTGTTTTTATATTCAAATAGAATCAGATGAGAGGAGAATCAGAGCCTGGGGGTGAGGGGGGGGCGAAGTTAGGGAGAGAGAATTCTAAAGATAAAATAGGATGGGGAGGCGGATTTTTCCGTGAGGTATGTGAGGACACTTATTTAAAAGGACTCAGGTCTGAATAGACTGTGAACAATATTATTAAACAAGGAAGAATAGGTTTGGAAGATAGGGTTACCCACAAAGGATGACACGATAATTATTAAGTCATTTTTTAAACATTCAAAGATCCCTGCAGCTGTAAACTTCTTTCTCTCTTATTTAGTAAACCAGGTAAAGGTTGCAAATTAAAGGCAACCTTTAAAAGAATTTGTCCACAACACTGCATATCCAGTTTAACTACCTGAAATAGTCGGTCTGAAAAACGAGGGAATTATAAGTTACGGAAATATGTGATAATTTAATTTGAAGTAATTTTATAAAAGATAAATATTTTTAGTTTTTACAAGGACATGCATAAATGACATTGCCCGATTTACAACGGTACCCTTAACGGCTTTGTCTGATCAAGATGAAATAGATATCATTGTTTATTAACTGTTTATTTTCGTTTGAGGTTTCTCTGTGAAAGTGACATACCGCATTTTTTGTTGTTTAAAAGAAGCAACGGAGAAATTCGCTGAAATAAACACTTTCGAGTCAGAAAAACGACGGTGTCCTTCATATTTTTTTATTAGATTATGGTCTCCAGGGTAAATCGGACATTTACATCTTTGCATGAAGAATCACGTGAAGTTACGTTTGTAAGTCTGTTGAAATGGGATTATTGGACCTTTTTAGAACTGGAAACTAATTATTAAGCGGGTAAATTAATAGATGGAACTAATTTCCCTAATGTTGGGCAATCTCGGAGAATCTCTTAATATTCGCCATCTTTTAGATTTTCCCTGTACTGAGTTCCATTCAACTTTATTCATCCAGAGTTCAATTTTTCTATTCTTCTATTCTTCTATTCTTCTTTTCTTCTATTCTTTCTATTCTATTAGTCTTCATATTCTTTCTACACTTCTATTTTTCTATTCTTCTATTTTTCTATTCTTCTACTCTTCTATTCTTCAATTCTTCTATTCTTTAAATTTTCTATTCTTCTTATCTTCTATTCTTCTATTCTTTTATTCTTCTATTCTTCTATTCTTCTATTCTTCTATTCTTCTATTCTTCTAATTTTCTATTCTTCTATTCTTTATCCTTCTTTTTTTCTATTCGTCTATTCTTCTATTCTTCTATTCTTCTATTCTTCTATTCTTCTATTCTTCTATTCTTGTATCCTTCTATCCTTCTATTCTTTTATTCTTCTATTCTTCTATTCTTCTATTCTTCTATTCTTCTATTCTTCTATTCTTCTAATTTTCTATTCTTTATCCTTCTTTTTTTCTATTCGTCTATTCTTCTATTCTTCTATTCTTCTATTCTTCTATTCTTCTATTCTTCTATTCTTCTATTCTTCTATTCTTCTATTCTTCTATTCTTCTATTCTTCTATTCTTCTATTCTTCTATTCTTCTATTCTTGTATCCTTCTATCCTTCTATTCTTCTATTATTGTATGCTTCTATCCTTCTTTCCATCAATCCTTCTATTCTTCTATCCGTCTATGATTTTATTCTTCTATCCTTCTATCATCAAATTTTCCTCAATAAATGATTTATTATCGGTATCTTCGTATCCTTAGTCCTCGATCTTTCAATTACAAAATCTAAAATTTAATAACTCTGATGGATTATGTAATTAAGTTAATTGAAATCCGCTAAAAGAATTAGAACTTGGAATTTGTTTGATAATAAAACCAGAATCAATATCAGATTTCTACTTTGTTACTTTAACAAACTTTTTAAACGACCATCACTTTGAAAGTATTATCTTTGTGCCGAAATCAGTTACGTATGACTATAATTGTAAAGCATTTAATGAGTGACCCCGACAAAAATATTGGATTAAATCTAAATTTTTGCGACAAACTTTTTTACATCCTTGGAGAAAACTTTCAAAACCCTTAAATTATAAAAAAACTTTTCTTGAACTCTTTGTTTGTAATTTCTATATTTTTGCCACCTAATATCGCAGACATTTAACATTACAAACCTAAAAGTCTGCTGTAGGTTACCACCACTGGGTTGCAAAATTGTTCAGTTCCTTCTGAAAGTGTTAAAGCCAATCAATTATCATATTTGACTAAAATTTACTATATTAGGTTAATAGATTTTCCAACAGTGGTTTGTAATTATCATTAAAAGTTTAGGCAAACTTAATGGCAAATTTTAAATAAAAATGTAAAATAATAATCAATATAATACTTGTTTTTTTTAGGAAAAACTGATTATGGAAGTTATGAAGCAAGTTGGCTTGACGCAAGAAATATTTGCAGGTATAAACCAAAATTTACAAGATTTACAAAAATTATAAAAATAATATTTTAATACCAGTATGTACGTTCATATAAAACAAGACATTCGTATAAATGTTCTCTATAGCCGGCTAAACGGCTGGACCGAATGGGCTAACATTTTTTGTGGACACTCATGGGTAGCCTCAAAGAATAAAAAGATCTTCAGCTAGTATGTACATATTTTTATTTCTGGAAAAGAGAAGTTTTTCTGTGCAAACCCAAAAATTAACAATGAAATATGTTTCAATGTGTTTAAGTGTGGTGTGTACGTTGTTTCCCATTTTTCTTATAAATTTGTCTTTTTTCTTTATTTGCCACCAGTCAGTTTCTTTATTCCCAATGCAGTGGCATTGCAGATTTCTGTGCAAAATCCAGTTTTGCACAATGCATTAATTACTTAATTAATTAATCCGGTGATTTTTATACTATGGTTAAATTTAGAGAATTTTATAGTATTCGCAATCCAAATCTGTGGCTTTTATTCTTCGGTTATCAAGACTCAAAATTTGCAACCTGATGGATTCAACCTTAGATGTTTCAAACTTAGAGTATTTGATTTAACAAAAATCATAGTTTTAAATATCTAAGGCCTACAACATTGGGTTGCCATGACATGTCTTGCGGCAAAAATTCAATTCCTTTCGCGCACTGTGATTTAAAGGTCTCGAGCTCTCAAGCAAAAATTAATGAGACTTTTTTTAAGCAGACTGAATCCATGTGCACTTAAGATTAAAATCTTATGTTTTCAATTCTAACATCCTTTATTGAGAAGAACCAAATAAGTTTTATTTTTTCTGATAAGATTTATTTTCCATCCTTAAGGCTAAACTAAAGGAGATATGTGGTCACAAAGCCGTACCAATAATGTCGTCTAATTCGACCCTTAGCTTTTACTAGGCTCCGATCGCAGGGTGTCCAAGAGAAATTAATTTAATTCTGCTGACGACAAAAGATACAAACTTACTATTACTTGATCCCGGGAAGCTATCAAACACAAATCATCTCTCTTGCAACCTTACTAAAGTTTTCTTTACTACAACTCGGGGAGGACTAAAAAGTAAACTAAAAAGTATTAAACAAAAAGAAATGGACGGTGTTCAACGAATGCCCAAATTAAGATGGTTTGATGAAAATAAAAAATCGCAGTTTTTAATTCTATTAATTCATTAACTTGAAATATTAAAAATTGAAATAGATATATCATTTAAAAAGCGCCTTTTATATTATCGATAGCAATCTTTAAATAAAAATTTGAAATTCATTTTTGAAGTTATATTTTCTTGATTTGGAATTTAAACATTCTTTTAGAATTCAAACAGACGAGTAATCAAATCTAACTTTTCTTCTGTCCAAACTTTTTGCGCATTTCCTTTTCTTGTAAAACTTGCACCAATTATAACTTTTTTTATTTTCTTGTTGACATTTATCTAGAAAATATAGAAATTTAAATAAAGTTAGTTAGATTTTTTTACAATTTACCAAAGAGAAGATAGTTTGTTTCTTGATATTACATCTGAAATATAAATGTATCTATAAAATGTGTTTATCATTTGAAATAATTTATACTTTTTTTTAGGTATATGTTTGCATTTTTTGATGAAATTATGTCTATGTATTATGTTTAACCTACATACCATGAATACCAGAATTATCATATTATATTTCTCTAAAATTTATTGAAAATGGGTTTACCCAATGAAAAGGTCAAATTTATGCAAATGTATCGGTACGACGTTGTGACCCCGTAGCTTCTCTAGTTTTAATTTTTCAACCATGCGTTAAAAAAATATTCCTCCAATCGCAAATTTTACCAAAATTATGCTTAAAATATATATGAATTTAGTCTAATTTTAATTTAATTTTAAGTCTCACATGATCCATGGCCTCCTGTTTAGGGAGATGTGTATGGACCTGGTGTCCCTCGAGACCTCGGAGGAGAACATGATGGTGGAGGCCGTCATCAAACAGGCAGGCCGAGTATATTCAAAACTTTTACAACTGAACAGTCTTTTCCAAACGAAATGGTCAATCCCTTTAATCTGTTTGTCCAGTATGATCAATCCCTTTAATCTGTTTGTCCAGTATGATCAAACCCTTTAATCTGTTTGTCCAGTATGATCAATCCCTTTAATCTGTTTGTCCAGTATGAGCAATCCATTTAATCTGTTTGTCCAGTATGATCATTCCCTTTAATTTGTTTTTCCAGTATGATCAAACCCTTTAATCTGTTTGTCCAGTATGATCAATCCCTTTAATTTGTTCGTCCAGTATGATCATTACCTTTAATCTGTTTGTCCAGTATGATCAATCCCTTAAATCTGTTTGTCCAGTATTTTGGCTACGCTCAATTTAATACAACCGAAGTTAAATAATTTACTTTATTAACTGGTAAAGGTACAAATTTAAGTTAAAGTTTTTGAGTATTAAATATCAAGGTGACGTGGCAGAAATCTAGTACGTCTTGCCGCGTTCCAATATCCGGCTTCAGTCTCTTCATAATAGATCGTCTTCCGCCACAGTATGATCATTCCCTTTAATCTGTTTGTCCAGTATGATCATTACCTTTAATCTGTTTCTCCAGTATGATCACTACCTTTAATCTGTTTGTCCAGTATGATTATTACCTTTAATCTGTTTGTCCAGTACGATCATTACCTTTAATCTGTTTGTCCAGTATGATCATTTCCTTTAATCTGTTTGTCCAGTATGATCATTACCTTTAATCTGTTTGTCCAGTATGATCATTCCCTTTAATTTGTTTGTCCAGTATGATCAATCCCTTTAATCTGTTTGTCCAGTATGATCATTCCATTTAATTTGTTTGTCCAGTATGATCAATCCCTTTAATCTGTTTGTCCAGTATGATCATTCCATTTAATTTGTTTGTCCAGTCTGATCATTCCATTTAATCTGTTTGTCCCGTATGATCAATCCCTTTAATCTGTTTGTCCAGTATGATCAATCCCTTTAATCTGTTTGTCCAGTATGATCATTCCATTTAATTTGTTTGTCCAGTATGATCATTCCATTTAATCTGTTTGTCCAGTATGATCAATCCCTTCAATCTGTTTGTCCAGTATGATCAATCCCTTTAATCTTTTTGTCCAGTATGATCATTCCCTTTAATCTGTTTGTCCAGTATGATCAATCCCTTTAATCTGTTTGTCCAGTACGATCAATCCCTTTAATCTGTTTGTCCAGTATAATAAATCCCTTTAATCTGTTTGTCCAGTATGAGCAATCCATTTAATCTGTTTGTCCAGTATGATCAATCCATTTAATCTGTTTGTCCAGTATGATCAATCCCTTTAATCTGTTTGTCCAGTATGGTCAATCCCTTTAATCTGTTTTTCCAGTATGATCATAACCTTTAATCTGTTTGTCCAGTATGATCACTCCCTTTAATCTGTATGTTCAGTATGATCATTCCCTTTAATCTGTTTGTCCAGTATGATCACTCCCTTTAATCTGTTTGTCCAGTATGATCACTCCCATTAATCTGTTTGTCCAGTATGATCATTCCCTTTAATCTGTTTGTCCAGTATGATCATTACCTTTAATCTGTTTGTCCAGTATGATCATTACCTTTAATCTGTTTGTCCAGTATGATCAATCCCTTTAATCTGTTTGTCCAGTATGATTATTACCTTTAATCTGTTTGTCCAGTATGAGCATTACCTTTAATCTGTTTTTCCAGTATGATCATTCCCTTTAATCTGTTTTTCCAGTATGATCATTACCTTTAATCTGTTTGTCCAGTATGATCATTCCCTTTAATCTGTTTTTCCAGTATGATTATTACCTTTAATCTGTTTGTCCAGTTTGATCATTACCTTTAATCTGTTTGTCCCGTATGATCACTCCCTTTAATCTGTTTGTCCAGTATGAGGTGGACGATATCTGGACTTCTGGCAGACTCTGTAACTTCCATGGATGTGATGCTCCACATCTACAACCTAAAAATATTAAAGGTAATTACATGTTTACCACACTGTTAAAACAGTGTTTACCAAACTGGACAAACCTTGTTTACCACACTGTTAAACATTATTTACTACACTGGTAAATCATTTTTTACCACCCTGTTAAGCATTGTTTATCACAAAGGTAAATCATTGTTTACTGCACAAAGGTAAAGCATTGTCTACCACAAAGGTAAAGCATTGTTTACCACACTGATAAGCATTGTTTACCACACTGGTAAGCATTGTTTACCACACTGGAAAGCATCGTTTACCTCAAAGGTAAGCATTGTTTTCCACAAAGGTAAAGCATTGTTTACCACAAAGGTAACACACTGCACTGGTAAACAATGCTTTCTAGACTGGTGAAACATTGTTTACCAAACTGGTAAACATTGTTTACCACACTGATAAAACATTTTTTACCACACTGGTAAACATTGTTTATAACACTGGACAAACTTTGTTTATCTTACTGGTAGTAATGGGCAATAGCCAGATTCGTTTTACAGAAACTTTTGATATATTTTTAGACTATTAAAGGTGTTACGAGTACGACTATATGAGAAAGTTCCAACATTTAAAAACTTTATTCTGTAAAAGTTAGCTTTTATCAAGCATGCTAATATATTACCCAAGAAGAAAATATCAGGCAAAAACTATTAAGACGAATCTAGCTAATGCCTATCGCTACATACGGGTAAAAAGTTTACCCCCTCCATATATCTGTATTAAAATTCTTCATTTAACCCTAATTTTTCACCCAACCCCCCACATGACCCAATCCTTCTCTGTAACAGCTACCCGCTCTATCTAACCCAAACCACAAAAAAATTCCTCAAGGGGAATTTCTCAATCTAACCCAAGTGTTCACCCATTCCAAGTACTATGTCAAACTGCTTTCATCTAAACTATAGTTTTGAACCCATCCAATCCCTCCGTGGGATAGTTTTCATTTATTCTAGAGTTCTCCCCCCATCCAATCCCTCTGTGAGATGGTTTTCATTTATTCTTTTTTAAGTCAAGAGGCAGGTTATTCCACATCTTAAGAAGAGAGCTTGATGGTAAATACTGTAATGAGCACATTTTGAGAATGTCAAGTTGATAGTTCAGCGATCTTTTAAAGTTTCCAAGCTTTTTAAAAATATTTTCAAAAGATGCAGGAAGAAGTTTATGTGTATATTTATACATAAATATAGCTTAAGGTAAGTGTATGTTTGCTTTAAAAATATATATTTGTAACCCTGAATGATACAACCCAACAAATATTTGTTTCGAATGTTTTGAAAAAAAGGAGACATATATGATTAATCTGTATATTTATCCATAATCTTTGATGAGGGAATATTATCATAAATATCATGAAGTTAGTACAAAATAACAAGAAGTGATATTTATAAACCAAAAAGTGTTTTCAATCCAAGAACCCTATGTTTAAGGACAATTTATAAACCAAAAGGTGTGTTTTCAAACCAGAAGCCCTATGTTTAAAGATGGTTTAAAAACCAAGAACCCTACGTTTAAGGATTATCTATAATCCAAGAACCCTATGTTTAAGGAGGTTTTATAGACCAAGAACTCTTAGTTTAAGGATTGTTAATGAACCAAGAACCCAATGTTTAAAGATCGTTTAAGCACCAAGAACCCTAAGTTTAAGGATTATTTATATAAGGAACATTTTTTTGACTTAAAAGACTCAAAAAGAGTCAAAATTAATGACTAAAGACTAAAAAAACTAGATTTTTAACTTTTCACACATTATAGTTTATTAAGACAGATATTTTACCTGTTTTGCACTAGGGTTTCTTTCCCTTAAGCATGCTATTGAGTCGAGAAGCTATTCTGAAAATAGGAACAAAAATAAAAGATTAGGACAGGGATTTAGGAACAATAAAAAGATTGTTCAGGAATTAGGAACAAAATTAAAGGATATTAGGACAGTGATTTAGGAACAATAAAAAGATTGTTTAGGAATTAGGAACAAAAATATAGGATTAGGACAGGGATTTAAGGTGGGTCAGACACAGTATTAGGAACAGGAACAATAATAGAAATATTAGCAATTTAAGAACAAAGAGAAATTACTAGTTATACTTAAATGCATGAAAATTAGGAAATGTATTACAATTTTAATAAATGAGTATTGATTAAGAAACATTACTAGATATGAACAATATTATAACTTAAGTCTAGTTTCTTACAAATTTCTAATTCTAAATTTATCGTTAACAATAACATTTACTTGTTGTCGTTGATTTTTAAATTAAACTGAAGAAAAGAAAGTCAAGATAAGCCGCATATTAACACTAATAAAACAAAACACAATGTCGTCGTATACTTACATCGTTGGTTATATTTATTTTTAACAAGCTAGAAAAATATTTTTTTCGTCCTTTAATTATTATATTTCCATGAAATAAAAGATAATCAAATAGCTTGAAATTGAAAAACATTAATTTATTGATTTATCAAATTGGGAACATTTTTTGCCTCGAAATCTCAGGGGGGGCGAATGTCCCCCCGCTCCCCCCCCCTGTATGTATCCGCCCCTGAATTAAGAACACTATGCATAAGGATTGTTTATGAACCAAGAGACCTAAGTTTAAAGATTATTTATAAACCAAGAACCCTATGTTTAAGGATGGTTTATGAACCAAAGACCCTATATTTTAGGATGGTTCTGGTCTGGCTCAGGATCTTCTATTCCTCCGACCAATGAGACTGCTCCGGGATGGAAGGATAACCCTTGGTCTGATACAGGTTACAATATCTCACAAAGAAGAAAAGTATAAACTGTTCACTCTCCACTAAACACTACTATATCTTCGGTCAATGTACTGCAAAATACTGCAGTACACACCAAAGTTTAGTTGAGGGTTAGTTGTATAATATGTTTTCTTTTAACTTAATTTTTACCGATAGAAATAAATTTAAAATGTTTTTAAGATAACACATTTATTCAAATAAAATTACTGCATCGATGTTGCAAATTTTGCATTTTTGAGATCCGTTAAGAGTTAAAGCAGAGTTTGTACTTACGTTATTATCTCGTTATCTTCATTATTTTTACTTTTTTTCTGTACAATACAAAACAATTCAACCTACTTGTCTTGTAAACCTTTGCAACAAATTACGTGTCCTCTGCAACTGAACAAATTAGTTGTTGTTTAGTTTAGTATAACTAGTCTACAGTACAACTGAAACGCAATAAATTTGTTGTATACTTCTGTACAACTGTACACCAAATTGCTAGGTTTCCTGTCTCAGTTCGTCTCTAAACCAGTTCCACAGCCGGACAATGCTGAGTACCTACTCCAACGCTCTGGGGTCACCATTGAAGCATGTTTATCAGGTGGCAATTCATTAAAATTCATATCAAGTTAAATTTTCATGACTCCATGACTCAGGATTTCACCTGTAGTAGGTAGTTCAGCGACCTCAAGTTAAATGTTCATGACTCTATGACTCAGGATTTATCCTATAGTAGGTAGTTCAGCGACCTCTCCCATTTATCTAATTCGGTCACATATCAAGTTAAATGTTCATGACTCCGTGACTCAGGATGTAACCCATAGTAGGTAATTCAGCGACCTCTCCCATTTATCTAATTCTGTCACATATCAAATTAAATGTTCATGACTCCGTGACTCAGGATGTATTCCATAGTAGGTAGTTCAGCCACCTCTCCCATTTATCTAATTCGGTCACATATCAAGTTAAATGTTCATGACTCCGAGACTCAAGATTTAACCTGCAGTAGGTAGTTCAGTGACCTCTCCCATTTATTTAATTCGGTCACATATCAAGTTAAAGGTTCATGACTCCGTTACTCAGGATTTATCCCATAGTAGGTAGTTTAGCCACCTCTCTCATTTATCTAATTCGGTCACATATCAAGTTAAAAATTCATGACTCCCTGACTCAGGATTTAACCTGTAGTAGGTAGTTCAGCCACCTCTCCCATTTATCTAATTTGGTCACATATCAAGTTAAAGGTTCAACGGACATTACACCTTGTAGCATAGAGAAAGGAAAAGAAAGGGTAAAGCTTACCTCAGATGTATACAGCCGACTACCCTATTAAATTATTAATTAATTAATTGGTGGTCGGTTGTGTACATCATGATATGTTTACGTAACTAACACTGTACACTTGTGATCGTATTTCTTGGGGGATTTTATGGAATTGATAATTTTTTGATTTTATTTCTTTATATAAAGAGTAATTTTTATATAAAGAGTAATTTTTATACAAAGAGAAATTTTTATATAAAGAAAAGTACGTATTAAATATTTAGCCATGAAAAAACTAACTTTACCAACAGGATATGTAATTAGTTAATACTTCTGATATGATAAAAAAAAAAATGTATTCTGGATAAAAGAAAATTGCAGACCAGGGCATGGACTTTTTGCCCCCTCCCCTGGCCCTACATTGCATTTTTTTTTCAAAACTTTTCACCTGACTAACATCTCCTTCTTTGAAAAGGTTTAAGCAAATATAACTCGAGGGATGTATCCTTAAAAGGTCTAGCCATGAAAAAATTCACATTTTTACAAGAATTGTTCGTGCATTTTCTCACGTTGCAATATTGTGTCATTCTTGTCTTAAAATAAACAAACAACTTTACTGAAATGTACTGCAGTTTACAATCCTGTGTTTACAATCCATATTTAGTGTCCATCTAATTATCAATAAAAATATTTAATTATCTATATTTAACCACCCAAAGAGATACGATCACTCTATACACATGTGTACAGTGTTTGATACGTGACATCTGAGGTAAGCTTTACCTCTTCGTTTCCTTTCTCTATGCTCTTTAGACACATTCCTTCTTTCTCTGCTATATCATCTATTATCCTTGTTTATATAATAGCTTATATCTTTAGACACATTCCTTCTTTTCTCTACTATATCATCTATTTATCCTAGTTTATATAATGGCTTATATCTTTTCTCTGCTATATCATCTATTATCCTTGTTTATATAATGGCTTATATCTTTTCTCTACTATATCATCTTTTATCCTTGTTTATATAATAGCTTATATCTTTTCTCTGCTATATCATCTATTTATCCTTGTTTTTATAATGGCTTATATCTTTTCTCTGCTATATCATCTTTTATCCTTGTTTATATAATAGCTTATATCTTTTCTCTACTATATCATATATTTATCCTTGTTTTTATAATGGCTTATATCTTTTCTCTGCTATATCATCTTTTATCCTTGTTTATATAATGGCTTATATCTTTTCTCTACTATATCATATATTTATCCTTGTTTTTATAATGGCTTATATCTTTTCTCTGCTATATCATCTTTTATCCTTGTTTATATAATGGCTTATATCTTTTCTCTACTATATCATATATTTATCCTAGTTTATATAATGGCTTATATCTTTTCTCTACTATATCATATATTTATCCTTGTTTATATAATAGCTTATATCTTTAGACCTTTAAAAAAAATTCTGAAATAAAAATAAGTCATATCATGTAATATTAAAGGTTTGCGTCATCAGGTTGTAAAGCTATAAGTATTTGTTGTCTAAATATTATTTGTTGTTTAGTTCAAAATAACTGGTATTCAGATGGAATAGAATGGCATGATGCAGCATGTTACAGGTATATATATTATACACTTACAAAAATAAAATTAAAAATATATATAGAGTAAAGTGCACCTTTATAATAATTTTGAAATTATTAATTTTTCATTTCAAATAAAAGCCGTTTACTAAATGATGTAGGTTAAATTTTTACAATGAATTTATTGACACCAAGTTTGATTTTCGGAAGTCAAAAGGATTTTTTTGGGTTTTCAAAGTACCTTAGCTGCAGAAATAAAATTCTTAGCATATGAGCTAAGAAATCGGAAAATTTCAATATTAAATCATACCTCTTTTTTAATTCTACTTCTCAGTCATAAAAAGACAAACTATGAAGAAACTTATTTAATAAAATTTTTAGAAATAGACATTTTGCGCAAGATAAAAACACATGACTACTTGTTTTCTGTCCAATTTTGATTTGAAGGTTATTGAATGAAATAAACCTTGGTTTTATTTTAAGAACGCGTATCAATATGTATTATTCTGGAAATGAACTTTACTCTTTGTATATATATGTACAAAAAATAAACAGAATGTTCCGAAAAAAAACCTTTTATTGAATTTAAAAGTATCACACGTGGGTCATCGTGGAACATTGCTTAATTATGGAAAGGGTTCTTTGTACATATTTAAATCCCTGTTTTTGTTTTATAGATTGGTCAAATTATCAGAATTACGATTGTTCTTAATTTGAAATTGTCAATGTATTGTCATTTCCGAATATTTCTAACAGAATAACTTTAAACAAATTTTACTTTGTTTGAGTTACCCTCCATACAAAGAAAACAATGAATCAAGAATGAGAGAACTCTGTGTGTAAATGTGTTGAAAAGCTTCTAAATGGTTCTGAATCCCGTTGTACGCTGCGTAAAGATTGATCTAAACACAGCTGATCCGTTCCTTGCGCCCCCTGAAAATATCGTCTTTTTTATGTTAGACGCGGATTTCTAACACTGAAAGTAAATATTTTCTCTTTCTTATAGAAGTTAACTATTGATGTTATTTAAATAAAAAAGAGCTTGCATACAACGTTTAAACAATTTTAAAACGGAGATGCCCCTTTTTAAATGAAAGGACACTTGAAATTACGCTTACAGTCCCTTTAATAAAATTAGTGTGCACTAAAAGGCTCCGCATAATGCAGCGAAAACTCCTTTCAAGTTCTATTACAGTATCTTAAAAAAAAAAAAGTACGAATTGTGTAAAAAAAAGGAATATTTAAATTTAGCAGTTTGACTGTATTTGTCCTAACAAAATAATATATTGCCCCCCCCTAGCAAAAGTCCTAGTTGCGCCTCTGATTATATTTCTGATATTTTATCCCTTTACTATATTTAATTAGAATATCTAAACTACCTGCTTCCCAACATATTAGATCAATGAAAAGTTTCCTGGCCAAGAAATTCTTGTTGTTGTAAACATTAAAGCTTAAAGTTAAGCAACTATATACCAGACTCATTAAAGGGATTGTTCCAGACATTTAAATGAGTTCATAGGAAACCCCAATGTTTAATCATGAGTACATTCGATCAACAAAACTTTATGTTGTGAATATAGCGCTGTTATAGTGTTGTGTTCTATAGCGCTAAATGTACATGCAAAGGGCTGCATAAAAGCATAAGTAAGTTAGATCGGTAAAATCAAAGCCCAAGGCGTTGCGACACTTTAAAGTCGACCCTGTCATAAGACTTTTTATAAGTCAGCTGAATCTATGTGCTAAGCGTTCAAGAATAACAATATCCATCAAAAGTTCCAATATCCTGTCCTAAACCATCTAAATTGTAATTTTATTTGTCATCATTTTTATATCTTTAGATATTTGCATTTTTATTTCGGATTTTCATTTAAAAAGAAAAAAACGAAGAGACGTTTTTAGGTTCTTTCATGCTTTATATTGCGTAATCAATTCCAATAATTTCAAGATGAAACGATAGAACCAATGAGAAGACTTTTATTTACATTATTATACATTATTATTATATACAGTGACGTATTAGGACTGCCCGGCAGAAGTGTTTTCCTAGGACCGGCCCGCTTTTAGTATTGTACTGTACTGACCCGATTTTAGTATTGTACTGTACCGGCCCGATATTAGTATTGTACTGTACCGGCCCGCTTTTAGTATTGTACTGTACCGGCCCGCTTTTAGTATTTTACTGTACCGTCCCGCTTTTAGTATTGTACTGTACCAGCCCGCTTTTAGTATTGTACTGTACTGGCCCGCTTTTAGTATTGTACTGTACTGGCCCAATTTTAGTATTGTACTGTACCGGCCCAATTTTATTATTGTACTGTACCGTCCCGCTTTTAGTATTGTACTGTACCGGCCCGCTTTTAGTATTTTACTGTACCGGCCCGCTTTTAGTATTGTACTGTACCGGCCCGCTTTTAGTATTGTACTGCACCGGCCTGCTTTTAGTATTGTACTGTACCAGCCCGCTTTTAGTATTGTACTGTACCGGCCCGCTTTTAGTATTGTACTGTACCGGCCTGCTTTTAGTATTGTACTGTACCGGCCCGCTTTTAGTATTGTACTGCACCGGCCCGCTTTTACTATTGAACTGTACCGGTCAGCTTTTACTATTGTAAAGTACATGGATTTTCCTCTGACGTTTATAAAGCAAAATAATTATGCATATCAATGCAAGTTTTTAAAGTATTTTTGAAAAAACGTTCGTTTTGTGATACACGATAGTTTTTCAAAATCTTTTCGGAAAATTTGTTCGTTCAACAAAAACAATAGTTTTTTTCATTTGTTTTTTTAACAATAGTTTTTCATTTCTTTGAATGATCCGAGTGGTTTGCCTGCGTTTATTTTGTTTTTTCACAAAAACAATGCCCATCTCTAACTGTACTTTTCATTTGACTTTAGTTTTTGAAATTTTGACCTGACCAGATTCATGATACAAGGAATTACAAGTTATTTGAATCATTTTTACCTTATAAAATGCAAAAAAAGAAAAAATCCCCAGACAGATAATAAATATTTAAATTGGGGTTTATGTTTCCTTGCAAGCGTATAATTATATTTAACAAGAAACTTGAATCTTTTAAATCCTTCAAACCTTATTCTCATGAATATATTTTCATTTAGATATTTCTTTGAATTTAACAAAATTTAACAAAACTGCACAATTTTATCTTATTTAAAATTCAGAATAGACATGCAGTAAATATAGTAAATTGGAAAAATGTTGATAATACAAGCGAAGAAAAAATACATGGAAAAAAACTGGTTTAAAGTTTAAACATAACAATTGGCAAGAAAACATTAGAAATGTATTTTCATCGTGTATTTGGTAATCTATAAAAATATAGATTCAGATGTTTATTAACTCTAATTATGTACAAAAGAAATACAGACTATTAACGTAAACTTGAATAACATTCATTTTAAATAATTACAAGGCCTAATGACCGATGGTACCCTTTAAACAAATGAAAGAAAATGAGATCAAGATTTAATGGTTTACTCCGTAATTCTTCATACTCTTTTCACTTGTAAACTTCATACTCTTTATGCTTTTTACTTTAAACCTAAATTCTAATAAGGAAATGGAATCGATATCCAAGTTTTTCCAATCTTAGTAAAAACACTGGGCATTCACACTCACACCCGGCCTCACAGAGGACTATCCGACCAAATTCAAGAAACGCATTCTAAAAGTAACAGACACTTTAATTTCAGACAGATTTACGGCTACGGCTTTGTGATCTCGTATGTGCATCGTTGTATCAAACAGAATAAACCAAACCATAAATATGTAGTCAATACATCTTTGCAACCTGATGTCGAAGACACCTGATATTTTGAAATTTGAATTCTTCGAGCTAATATATCAAAATATTTAAGATCTCTTCCAATGACTAAATCATTATTTATATAAACAATAAAATCCGAAAAAGGAATTACTTCCGTTTAAATATATCATTCTGAAATCATGCCCAAAACTTGTTGAAAACACAGTCTGTCCAATTTTTTTAAAATTTATTTCAGCCTGAGAAGGGCTTTTATGCTTTTAAAACGAAAAAATTGGTAAGGTTTTATTTAAAAATTTGTAAGGTTTTATATAAAAATGGTAAGGTTTTGTATAAAATGGTAAGGTTTTGTATAAAATGGTAAGGTTTTGCATAAAATGGTAAGGTTTTGTATAAAATGGTAAGGTTTTGTATAAAATGGTAAGGTTTTGTATAAAATGGTATGGTTTTGTATTAAAAAAATGGTAAGGTTTTGTATTAAAATGGTAAAGTTTTGTATAAAAAATTGGTAAGGTTTTGTATAAAAATGGTAAGGTTTTGTATAAAAATGGTAAAGTTTTGTATAAAAAATTGGTAAGGTTTTGTATAAAAATGGTAAGGTTTTGTATAAAAATGGTAAGGTTTTGTATAAAAATGGTAAGGTTTTGTATAAAAATGGTAAAGTTTTGTATAAAAAATTGGTAAGGTTTTGTATAAAAATGGTAAGGTTTTGTATAAAAATGGTAAGGTTTGGTATGTAAAAATGGTATTGTTTTGTCATAAAAAAATTGTATGGTTTTGTATAAAAAAAATCAGAGAAACATGATTAATCATTTCATGTTCTTCAATGAGATTTGAAATAAACATCTGTGTACACATTTAACTACACAATCAAAACAGAATAGTTATATAAAATAAAATATAAAAATTATATAAAAAAACATGTACTGCCGGATCATGGTACAATCTGCATTCACTGTTTTCTTATTTATTTATCTTCAATGAAACCAGATTTTGAGATCTGTCGATCCCAATATGTCGCAACCCGTCCCCGTCCCCCTCCCTTCCCTCTCCTTAATTCTAATCTCATTGTTGTTCTTCATTCTTGTTTCTAGTTTAGAACACGGTGTGCAAAGACCTTGCAACTTTGAAATCGTGTCTTGGCACTTTCGTAGGAGCAAAAACCTAGAGCATATGTTTTGTACTCTTCAGACATAGTACACAAAACAGAACATAAAGTTATTCAATACAATATGGTGTGGTAGGCAAAACAGAGCAGAGATGTCTTATTAAGAACACAGAAAAAGATGTATACAGTGTTACCTGCAAAGGATGAGACTTCAGAGACGACTCTGCGGATTTTTTGTAAATTTTGTACATTCATCATTACACGGTTCACAGCATCTGTCTACTTGTTCCTTTCTTTTTAAAAAATGTACAAGCCAGACACAACATTTAACCTATAGACCGTCATATTCAATGATTTTTAGGTCGTCCGTTATAAAAGTCTCATCTTTTGTAGGTAACCCTGTATGGATGATGGATGTGTATTGGCTTTATACATGAATCGAATCTAGATCTTATTTTATTTTATGGATTAATAAAATGCTTTTCCTTTATGCCTTACTTGACAATTTTACACTGTTAGAAAAACTCTTAACATTTGCTAAAAAAGTTGCATTATTTTTTAGGACTTCTTTAAAGTGTTGAACCACCATTGCTTTTGTTTTTACATCTCTAGCTTAATTACACTTTTTTGTAGCTCTAGACATGTACATTTTAAGAATGTTCAGCACGTGTCTCTAGATTTACTTTTGAAGAAATAATAAACAAAATAAACCTTAGGATTATTGTGTATCACAAACTTAATAGTTTAGTCATGCTTTTTACAGTAACATACCACAAAATTATATGATAGGACTGTTTGATATTAAATGTCCAATTAGTATATGATATGTTTAAAAGAGATTCAGCTCTCAGGTTCAAGAAAATCATATTTTGTTTTATTTCTCTAATAATGTTTATTTTCAGAACAAAGCAATTTATCTGCGAGGATTCAGATGTGATGATGAACTTTATGAAGAAAACTCATCCGAACTTTGTACTCAGATAGTACACACATCTTACAGGGACAGTGTACTTAGATAGTACACACATCTTACAGGGACAGTGTACTTAGATAGTACACACATCTTACATTAAATAGTACGCAGATCTTAGTGTACTCAGATAGTACACACACCTGATAGTGATAGTGTTTTAAGATAATACACAAATCTTACAGAACAGTGTTCTCAGATAGTTAACAGATCTAACAGGGACATTGTACTCAGATAGTACACCGATCTTACAGAGACATTGTACTCATATAGTACTTAGATCTTACAGGTATAGTTTACTCAGATAGTAAACAGATCTTACAGAGATAGTGTACTCAGATAGTACACAGGTCTTAAAGTGATAGTGTAGTCAGATAGTACACAGATAAAACGGTGCAGTGGCATTGCACAATATAATAATGTACACAAATATTAAAGTGTCATTAGTACTTAGTACTAAGATAGTACACAAATAGCTCACTGAACCAATGCAAAGATATCAGTTTACTAAAAAATGGCACTCTACCATCATATTCAAAATCCACAATAACTTTCCAATACTTTTGAAAAATATTACAAATGCTACAGCAGCATGGTACACTCAGTTTACCACTTGTAGTTCATGTATATAGTACATATTCAACGTACTCCTCCTCAGTTATTAGTAAAAAGTGTACAAACACAGACTTAAAAAGTACACAAGTCACTATGATCTTGCCATGCTACATTTGTTGCATAAAACGTGCTGGGTCAACTCTACACTGGGTAGCGTGACTGGACGGTACGTTGGACTGTAATTTTTTCATTTATATATTTTTGCAACCCAGTGGCGTAAACCTTAGATTATTCAAACTATGAATTCTGTTTGGTCAAGTAATTTGATAAAGTTTGAAATTTCAAAGGTTTACACCATCTAGTTGCAAAAATATAGGGATTACAAAAATTTGAGTTTGTGTGCAAAAAATCAATTCTTTTCAGTTTAATTATGTAAATACTAGTCAAAAATGATAGTACAATTAACACTTCTTAAAATTTAAACAAATTTTAAATTTATGATGTAAACAACATTAGAAGTTTTTTTTAAAATGTTGAAATATTTTTATATGTAGACACCCAATCAAAATTGCGATCATTACTGTTTTTACTGTGTAGAATACGGTTCTCTTATTGGTCTGAAGGGTTTACAGAGCAGAAATCAGTTTATTTCCCAGCGAGCAAAAACTTCGTTTAAATTAGATTGTCCCATCAAAAGTTTCCTATCGTCGAGTTCGGACATTTTGAATTTAAAGAACCAATTTATTTAAGTTAAAATAACTTTTTGCTGTCATTAATTAGCTTGGTAACCCAGCTTTGTCTGGAAACAAAGTTTTTCCTAAAAACTGCAACCCAATTTTTGTTGTTTTTGAACAAAGCTAATCGAACAATCCCGTGTTTCTACCGTGTTCCCTAATCCAAATTTGGGAAAAATCCGGGAAAAGGTTTCCTGAGTTATAATCAAATATTATATTAATTATTATATAACTTATTGTATTTGAGAATAAATAAACTTATATTTAATTGTTATTTTCTGCGTACGGTCATAATAGTATATGTAGTATTGGTGCCAGTATAAACGTCGGACCCACAAATGTCTGACGGTACAAACCTAAGACTTACAATGGTCGTACAGTACAAACGTCGGATTGCAGAAGTCGGGACAGACTAGTACAAACTAGTACAAACAGACTAGTGCGACACTAGTACAAATGTTGGACTGGTACAAACGTTGGACTGGTATAAACGTCGGATCAGGACAGACGTCGGCCCAGTACAAGCGTCGAACTTGTACAAACGTCGGACAGTACAAACGTCGGACAGTACAAACGTCGGACAGTACAAACGTCGGACAGTACAAACGTCGGATGAGGACAGACGTCGGACTAGTACAAACGTCGGACTTTTACAAACATCGGACAGTACAAACGTCGGACCACTACAAACGTCAGACTAGTACCAACATTGGACAAAAGATTTTCAAAAAATTTTAGATTTTTTTAAAAACCCCTTATATTGAATTGTCTAATTAAAACTACCCAAAGGAACTGAGTTCTTGTCACTACCTCAAATGTTCTCATCCCCCTTTATCTTTGCAACCCACTGGTATTAACATTTGTATACTTTCAAACTTAAACTGTTTGATCTTTCAAAGGTCTACGACATTGGGTTGCAGAGATATAGACATTGGAACATCAGAGTGTGATAAGAACTCAACTCCTTTCTGATTTGTTGTTTATATATAGTGCTGTTTTCAAAAAGTTGAGAGTGAGACTTTATTCAGTTATCTTTGATTTTGATCATCAAACGTTAGTGGCTTTTAATTTATTTCTTATATCAATAGCCTTTTTTCAAACTCAACCAAAGTTTTTTCTTATAAATGTACCCGTCCGACGTTTGTACTAGTCCGAAGTTTGTCTCAGTCCGACGTTTGCACTGTCCTACCTTTGTAACGTCTGGCGTTTGTACGTGGGTCCGACGTTTGTAGTTGAACTGCAGGTACCGTAGTATCAACAGGAGAAATGTTTGTTCGAAACTTGTTTATTTGACCTTATCCCATGGATGGGCTATTTTGGCTCCCTATCCTGATGAAGGGGGCGATTTCATCCCTCCTCCCCCCCCCCCATGAATTTACTCAGAATTGTGATATAAGGGTTAGGGTGCTAAGGTTTTTGAAAAATTAAAAAGTACATTGGGAAAATATTTAAAGATATTTTTTCTAATTTTAACAAATATACTAGTTTTAAACTTATTTTGACACTAAATTGATAAATGGTAATTATTATATTTAGCCATTTTTAAACTTACTCAGCATTCCTCCCCCACCCCTTTCTTTTTATAGTTTGATTATAAAGTTGACAATATTTTGTGTTAAAGTCCAGAAATCAGTTTGATTGATGGTTTAATCTTTGCACAGGGTGTCCCACGAAACATGAGGGTTAAGAGACGACTTGAATATTGTATTTGATCTTTGTAATATTGTGTTGCATTCTTTCTTCAAACTAATATTAAAAGCAACACTCTCTGCAGACCACATTTTGAAAATGCCAGGAATAGGGGAGTTTTGGGCTTAATTTTTCAAGAATCATAAATGTGTAAGTCACGTTTCGTGGGACACCCTGTATTTCTTTGAATGCAGTTGCATCCAAACTATTGAAAACTATTTTCTTTTGGCAATATTTAAACCAAAATGTTTACTAGCTTTTCAAGAATGCACAACTTGTTATTTTCTCTCACCAACCAATTTCATTTTATATTTTTATGGAACTAGTAACATATTAGTTTTGAACGAACCTACAATTTCTCATTCCTTTAGAAAAAGCTGTTTTAGGTATGCTATACTTCTGATTTAATACTGCTCATCTAAAAGCTTTTTTAGTGATTTAAATAAGAAAGTTTTGTAATCCCGCCAGGCTTTCAAAAGCATCTCGTCTTTAATAAACAGTATATAGTCAGATTTTGATCCCAGGCTATGCTCTCGAGTTTATCATTCAATCCCTCGGGGGCTTAAAGGAATTGAGTCTTTGCCACAAACTCTGATTTTCTAAGCACTATATATTTGGAACCAAATGTTGTATACCTTAGATATTTCAAACTATGAATTCTGTTAAATCAAATAATCTGAGTTTAAAATATCAAAGGTTTACAACATCGGGTTCTAAAGATATTGAGATTTAGATATTTGATTTTGTTCCAAAGACTCAATTCCTTTCCATTGATTCTAATTTTTCTGAGAGTATTCTAATATGTCAGCAAAATATGATCTTAAAATTATAAATTTTATTTGAATTAAGTTTTTTAAACCTAAATTTTGTTGAAAATAGTTTTGTGCACGTAGACCCATCCATCTCCGGCTGAAGGGAAATTCTCTAACTATTGAATATATTTTCATGATTTAGACCAAACAAAAACACACAGAGCGCTATTCTAAAGAAAAGAAAAAAAAGTTTAAATAATTTTTCATGGTTTCATGTTTTGCAATCGGGGACTAAAAAAGTACAAATCCCACTAATCTACATAGTCTCACCAAAAAAATATATAAAAAATATTCTTTCTTGCAAATCATTGAATTAAAAAAATGCATGAAAATGGTAAATTGTTATTTTGCACACTAAAAAATAATGACATTATTTTCCATTTACATTGTTTTATTTTAAAGTTTATCTGTTTTATATAGTTTCATATTTATATTATTCTGTTACGTAATCAAAAAAAAAGACACGTTTAAAAAAAATTAATTATTCTTCCTCAACTGTCAGTTGTCACAAGCAAGAAATAAGAATTGTTTTGCAACTTTGAACCTATATTATGTTTTCTTGTTTGCACAATTGCAAAATTCCGGGTTTAGAGCCTAGTTAGCGCAAAGGTTAGAGTAAAAGAATGAGCTTCCAAGAATTTGTTTAACTTTTCACTGTTGAAAGTTGGAAACAGTTGTTATTTAAAGCGAGTGTTCCCGAAAATGAAAAAGGAGGAAAAAGATTAACAATTAAGTAAATAAAGAATTGATTGACAGATTAAAAAAAGGCAACAAGAACTTATTTATAGGACATTTAAAGTTAAAGAAGGGCAGGATAAGTAACCTATGCTTGTGTCCTTGTGTGGCATTTAGAGCCTGAGTGGTAGCTAGATTGATAAGCTACGCTTTTGTCCTGTGTGGCATTTAAAGCCAGGGGGTTGTGTCCTAGTCGATTTGGATCGTGTGCCTGGACTGATACAGTTCGGGGGACGAACTTTCAAGAGTACGGCATTTACTACAAATATTTCTCTACANACGATGATTCATTGACTGAAAACACCTGTCTTTTAACTGTATCCCGATTGGGCTATTTTTCTTTAGTATACATAAATTTGGGTGGGGGGAGGGTGGTTTTCAACCCCCCGCCCTCCCCCTCAATGATTTTGTCCTTAGTGTTGAGTATAGGGGATTGTGATACATTGTTAAAAACATTAAACCTTTAATTTTAAAGGTTAGGGTGCAAAGGAGGATTTTTTAGAAGTTCAAAAATTACATCTAAAAAATGTTCAAAAATAATTATTTTAACTTTTGACAAATATTTATATGTGACACATTATAACTTCCCTTTTTCAAGGGCTTAAAAACAATAAAATGTTAGCCCTATAGCTTAATTAACTAAGCATTTCTGATTTTTTGGAACCGTTTGGGTCACCGTTTGAATGTCCTCCTCCCTCCTTCTCTATGCTTAAAGAAAGTTTGCCGAAAGGAATTGAGTTTTTGTCACAAACTCTGATTTTCTTATCCTTTTATCTTTGCATTTCAATGTCGGAGACCTTAGATATTTCTAGCTATGAATCATTTTAGATCAAAAAATGATAGTTTGAAATATCTAAGGCTTACATCATCAGGTTGCAAAGATACAGCAATTTTAAAATCAGAATTTGTGGTAAAAACTCCTTCCTTTGTTTACAATTATAATGTTGAAAAAGTAAAGAAAATGTATCGCTTTTACGTAATTTAGAGAAGACCGTAGGTTAAGTGGTTTTAAACAATGATAAATAAATATAGTACAAGTTTATATACTAATAGAAACCATTATAATTAAAAATAAAACATTTTCAGAATAAAAGTTTTAAAAAGTTTTAAAATATTTATTTTGTACTTTCACAGCATTTTATAATTATCCTGGCAAAGAGAGCTTAAGAATACCAGGAATAAAAAAGTAAATTAATTTTTGTAAATTATTGAACTTTTCACTTGTTTTGAAAATTGTAAAATTAATGTGTTTCGATTTAACTAAAACTGTTATTATAAGTTATTTAGAAAATTTTAACGTCGATTCTAATTTTAAAAATTCTTTTTGATCAATGATGGACAAAAATATATATTTATAATTGGCCTACTTTAAAGGGACTGCAGACTTCATTTCAAATGAGAAATAAATCGTCATGTTTATTTATTGTTTAGAAAAACGATGAATTTTGTCAACTTCCTTCCTTATCTCTACTGTTTAAAACCGCAATTTAAAATTTTAATTTTTCAGAAAGATAAAGAATGGATGATATTTTTGCTAAGATAAAGGTGAGATAAGATACTGTTGTGAATCGCCATTATAACTTTGTAAATGAAGAGTTGCATGAAATTTGGTTCCTAGTCCCTTTATCAATATTTTAGATATGTACTTTCAAACTTTCCCATTTATAATTTAAACTCATCAATTATTTTATTTTTTACAAATTCCGTGCACAAAGTTTATTTTTTCAACGAATTCAAGTTATTTAGTCGAGGTTTCTATTTGTTCTGTGAAAGCACTAAAATCTTCGTAATCAAGTTCATCGAGATCTTCATCATTATCCTTCACATACAAACAATGAAAATTTTTCCCTGTTTTAACATTTTTAAAGGGAGCGAAAAATGAAAAGGGGATATAGGCTGATCTCGAATTGAATTCTGGATTGATGGTTAATAATTTGAATTCTATATATTGCATCTATAATGAGAAAATGGTTTAAAGCGCAGAGTCAGTTCAAATTCACGGAGTTGATTAATTGACCTAGACTGTAGATAATTCAATTTTTGACTAATAATTCAGTTATAAATGTCGAATTCAATTTGGGATATTTGTTTGTACTTTAAATATCATAATCTTTAAATTAAAATTTGCAAGGATTTAACCCGAATTCTATCGTGGTTAGAAAATGTATCCCTTTTTATTTTTTGCGAGCACTCCCTAAATCCTAAATATTTTACATGATCTATAATAAAAGTTATTCCTGGAATTTAGCACGTATATTTTTATAAAAGGACAACATTTGTGTTGGCTCTAATCGCCGCATGCTTATTAAAAAAAGATTTTACTTTTTAAGAATATGTTGAGTAAAAAATTACTTGAGAATCATTTATTTTATTCGCTGTATTTGAACATGATAAGAAAATATCCTTAAATTAAAGAATTTCTTTCAGCCAGTTTAAAATTGAAATCATGAAATAGGTTTCAAGATCTAAGAAATGCATTTACTATATATATATATTTATATATATACCCTCGGACTTATTGGAAATATTCCTCTTCTAGATATTTGAAGAATTTAAACTGTATTCAACATCAGTATTAAACAGTTTTGAAGAACCTGTTGACTGGGACTTGTTGGGCTCTAATGTAAAATTGTTGGGCTCTATTGTAAAATTGTTGGGCTCTAATGTAAAATTGTTGGGCTCTAATGTAAAATTGTTGGGCTCTAATGTAAAATAGTTCACTTTTCTTAAACATTTAACAAAAAATAAACTTATTTATTCTACAAAATCACGGATTCCCCCCCCCCCTCAAAAAAATAAGGGTGGATTGGTTTATTTTCTTTGGTTTCCTTGGTCGATTTATCTGTGCTTTTTTTTTTTTTCCTGTCCTCTTTTCTAAGCCTAAAATATCATTTTTAAAATGTAATGAAGACGTGTGCGTAAATATCTAAAGTATAAAGGAATTGAGATAAATACATTTGCAACCCAATTTTATAGACCTTTTATAATTCAAACTATGCTTTCTAGTTTCTGTTAGATCAAGTAGTCTAAGTTTGAAATATCTAAGGTTTTCACCACCAGGTTGCAAAGATATAGGGATTACAAAGTTTGAATTTGTTGCAATGAAAAACGAGAAAATTAAAAAATTCTAAATTTTTACCGTACTGCATTTTTTATTCGAGCAAGGAGAGCGGAACCATCATAATCATCATAATAATCATAATAATCATCTTCAAGCAGATCAGTTATATCCGGTACACGAGCTCTTACTCCTGTACAGCCCACTGTACACGGGATCCTTCGGCGTACACCTGTACACCCTCCTGTACACCCTCCTGTACTTGTTCTATGTACAGCTCGGGCATCTCCTGATAAATATTGTAATGTACAGTTGCGAAAAAAGTAATGAAGAAAGATTAAAGATTTGACAAAGAGTGCAGAATTAATAATTTTTTTTCTATATTCAATATGAAGAGAATTAGATGAAAAACGTCCTCTACAGAAAATCACACATTAATGCTGCCTTGCATGTCAACACAAGCCAGGGCCGACAAAAAGAAATAAAGATTTGTGCAGGGAAACACATAAAAAATACGACATTTAAGTATACATTATGTATGTTTGTTATAATTAATGTTTTCTTATACCCCCCCCCCCTTATGTTGATAGTCCAAATTTATCTAGAATTAAATCTACTACAGTCGTCGGCGTATATATCAATACAATGATAATAACTTTCTATTTTAATTTTAGTTTCTACCAATCTTTCAAAACAGAAGAGAATAGATACATAAAAATGTCAACATATTATAGAAGTTGTCAATTAACAGCTTCTCTGTGTTTACAAGTTAACTTGTAAATTAATTGCTTGTTAGAAATTAAAGCATTATTAATAAAAAGTCGTCTCCATTGTATCAATATAATAGCCGACCACTGTATATAATTAAATATTGTATGTTTATACCTATAAAAACTGGATCTCTAGCTCCCTGAATACCATGAGTACCAGCGTACACATCATCATACCCACCATAGTATTCTCTTAAAGAAAGGATCGTAAAGATGGGCATTGTTTTTGTGAACAAAGTAAATTTTTGAGAATGAACGAAATTTTTCGTTATGTATGGTGTGGTTCAGAGGAAAAAAAGAACGATAAACGCACTTTTTGGATCGTTTAGAGAAACGAGCGATTTAAAATCGTTCGAACGAATTTTAAAAAAATTTTGGACGAACGAATTCAGTTAAAAAACGAACGAAATAGATTGAATGAATGATAATTTTGGCAACGAACGAAATAAATTTTTTTGAACAAATGAAAAGAAAATAACGAAATGGGTTGTTCATAAACGATGAACGAACTAAATGAAAAAAGTCAAAGGTACCTATCTCTAGTTCGTGCTTTACCTGGCGTATTCTGTTTTATGCTTGTTGTAAAGCCGTTTCAAGTAGTTTAGATAGATCAGGCGCTTCCATAGTTGATTTCTTCTTTCTGAATGTAAAAAAGACGTTTTCAATACGATAAGAACCAGAAAACCATTGAATAATAATCAAGTCACTCCTGTATGCCAGGTCCATTAGTGCCTGATCCAATCAGGGTTCAGCCATGTGTTAGGTGTCTATTCTCAACCAATAAAAATTGCATGGCGGTAACATCTATTGTTCTATCTAGCTTATTATCCAATTAGAATTATGAATCCTTATATCGGCGCTATAACAGTAAATGAAAATATTTTCTGTTACTGAAACTATAGTGAAGGAATGGCTTTACATAGTTACCTCAACTGTGCAGTTTAAGCAGATCTATTTCACTTGATAAATGATTTAATAACTTACTAGTAATACCACTTATTTGTAACAATTTCAAATATTGTTTTAATATCGTCATCCTATTCCACAGTTTTCTTGTCCTTACTTTATAATGTGTTAAGATGAGCTGTCCGAATTTTAACTTCCCAACTAAAGAAATGTTTTAGTAATCTTACAAGAACAACAACAACGAATCAACAAATCCATTAAAAACAACAACAACAACAACAACAACAACAACAACAACAACAACAACAACAACAACAACAACATCAACAACAACAACAACAACAACAACAACAACAACAACAACATCAACAACAACAACAACAACAGCAAGCAAAACAACAATAACCCTATCAACACCAGCAACAATATCAAAAACATCAGCAACAACTATAAAAACTACAATAACAACAACAACAAAACTAAATTTTTATAAACGGTACCTCCGACTGCTCCTCTTGATGCATAACCGACTCCGAACCCATCCCTAGCTCCATGGCCTCCAAACCCACCGTGTCCAGCTCCTAGAACATCTCTACCTAGTCCACGGGATCCAGGATGATGTAGCCAAGGATCCACACAACACTGGCGATCATATCCTTCACAAGGAAATAAAAATAAAATAAAATATTTGTAACATTCTAACTAATTAGGTTTAAGGTTCTGTTCATATTGCAATTTTTTAATGCTTAAAATCCATTTCTATACAACAAAACAACATTCAATATAACAAAACAACATTCTATACAACAAAACAACTAACAAGTATTATGTTCTTACTCTGTAGGGTTTAAATTTGAATTACGAGGTTGCAAAGTCATACCATGTATTCCATATAAATTCCTATATCTTTGCAACCTAATGCATTTTAAAAAATTCATAATTTCCCCTGACAACATTTGATGGAGCACCGGAGCCAAATTCAACTTAGTAGTATCATTGTCCAGAGCAAATAAATGCTGAATTTCATCAAAGAAAAATTTGACGAGTGCTAAGCTTCTAAGTAGAATTCGGCTCAGGTGCTCCATCAAATTTTGTTCAATGAAAATTTGACATTTCTTAGAGAGTGGTGTAAACCCTTGATATTTCAACGCAAGGGGCTTGAGGAAAAATTAAACTTTTGAAAGACAACCTTTGTGAAACCTTAAAACTCTTTTATCCTGGTTGAAATTAGATTGATTTAAAACTGGTTATTATAGTAGAAAGAAAACTGTTAATACAATTATAAACCCTTCATAGTAAAGCGTTTTTAACGGGTGTTATATAATACGAGTAAAATAACGCCATTTTAAATCATTAAACAAACTGGCATTAGTATTATAATTATGACACTTGGATTTAATCCGTTATCAAATATATCAAAACTACGGTTAAAACGGGGTTATCCAGACTTTCTAGTGAAAACCAGGTGACTTTAAACTGTATTTAATTTCTTTTCAAATTCTGAAAACAAAAATGAAACCGATTTAAAATGGTTTTTTTGGTTTAAAAATATCGTTTATCCTGTTTAAACCCTGCTTTGTGTTTGCTGGGTCTTACCTGAGGGAAAAATAGATGCCGGAGGTAAAAGTCGTCTTCGCACACTTGGATAGGAATCAAAGGACCTTGAAGCCTGAAATTATATTTTATATCTGACAAATTCCCAGATCCATTAGCAGGTCCATTAATGTTTTTGTCTCAAATCTGATAAATGATTTGTTTGTGGGTTGTAATCTTCATCATTTATTATTATTATTATTATTATTATTATAATTATTATAATTATTATCATTATCATTATTATCATTATTATTATTATTATTATTATTATTATTATTATTATTATTATTATTATTATTATTATTATTATTATTATTATTATTATTATTATTATAATTATTATAATTATTATCATTATCATTATTATCATTATTATTATTATTATTATTATCATTATTATTATTATTATTAAAATTATTATTTCTATTATTATTGTTATTTTTTGATATTATTAGAATTCTTATCATATTACCGAGCACTCGGATCTGCAAAGAGGGGCAGGTCCAGGGCATTCTGCGGGGAAAAAAATCTTGGTAAAAAATTAAACTTCATATCTACACAACAAACATTAAAAAACATTCAAATTATAGAAATCAACATTTACAATAAATATGATATTAACATAAACACAATATTTACAGAAAAATATTTTTTACTTTATAAAAAATAGCATCAAAATAATAACAAATACTAACAATACTTAAATACTAACAACAATGATAGAAAAAAAAAGAATAACAGAAAAGCAACAACAACCACAACAACAACAACTTTAACAACAACAACAACAACTTTAACGACAACAACAACAACAAAAACAAAAACAATAATAACAGTAACAACAAAAACAGGAACATCAACAACAACAAATAAAACAACAACAACAACAACATTATTTCAGACAACAACAACCAGAACAACAACAACATCAATAATAACAAGAACAAGAACAAGAAACAAGAACAACAATAACAACAACAAGGACAACAACAACATTATTTTATACAACATTAACAAGAACTACAAACACAACAACAACAACAATAAAACAATAACAACAAGAACAAGAACAAGAAACAAGAACAAAAACAACAACAACAACAACAACAACAACAATAAACAGCAGACTCAAAAAAACAATTAAAACTAAAACAACATAAACCTCAACAACAACAACATCAATAACATCAACTACCTTGGTTCCCCCCTGCAACTGTATCTATTGCATGAAGAGGAGAATCCTCCAACCATTGTCGCAGAGATGCAGAAAGTGACATTGTCTTAACAGAAAATAAAATTTTATTTTCATTATAATTAAATTAAATAGAAACAATTCTAAATATATTGTTTGAATGTTGCAAAATAATTTCCACGAAATAAAAGAAATAGAAACAAGAAGGTAAGATGAAAAAGAAAATTTCATAAAAGAAATTTTTTATTTTTTTTATTTCAAAATTCAAATAGAAGAACATTTGTTTGTGTTTTCATATTGTCAATAATAATTGTAAATTAATCATCTGTAATTGAATAATAAAAAAAACAATTTTTCATTTTTGATGATTGATAAATTAAAAATACTTAATAGTAAATATTGAAAATATTATTAAATTCTATAGACAATTTTTCAAATTCAATATGATGTCATCATCGATTCACAATGGTACCATATTTAACTTCGTTTAAGCAAAATGGATGAAGATTGAAGATATTCTGTTATCTATATTGAAATTTGATCCTTTTGAATTCCGATTTTTCTTTACAGGGACCGTTCACTTATTTTGGTAATTTTAGGGTAAACTAAATAGCCTATTAGCTATTCATTAGTATATTAGTCTTATTTTACCTAACAAAGGAATTTAGAAAGAGACATTTGTTAAGAAAAGAAAACCAACTGGATGTCTTGGCCTTATTCATAAAAAGTGCAAAGGGAACTTTTTTGATTCGGGAATCTCTTTAAATAGGAGTTCAATAACAATAATTTTTCTAAACCTTTTAGATAATTCATTGTTTACCTTATTGGATCCTAGCATTGGAACAGTTAGCTTGTTAAACCTAGAATCTGCTAGTTCACCATAAAGATAGCTATGTGACCTAAACAGTTAGCTTGTTAAACCTAGTATCTACTAGCTCACCATCAAGATAGCTATGTGACATAAACAGTTAGCTTGTTAAACCTAGTATCTACTAGCCCACCATCAAGATAGCTATGTGACCTAAACAGTTAGCTTGTTAAACCTAGTATCTGGCTAGCACACCATCAAGATAGCTATGTGACCTAAACAGTTAGTTTGTTAAACCTAGTATCTACTAGCTCACAATCAAGATAGCTATCAAACCTATAGTTAGATCCAACTGTCAAAGAAATAATCTCTATCGTCCCACTCCCAAGCTTATTATTCAAATGAAAAAATCCTGAACATATTAACTTTTAATTCTAACCTGCAGTCCGGGACGAACCAGCTCCTATCCTGTCGTCCTGCAAGAATACTCTCATATAAGGCTGCAGTTCCTCTTCTCCAGGCTAACTCGTATTCCTCGTACTCCGGGTCCGAGATATCCGGGATACAGGGATTATCAGCAAAACTAAATAAAAGATTCAAATAATGTAAAGGACAGTAATTATGTTCTAAGTGAAAGGGACTGTGTAAGCTTAAGTGACACTCCATGTGAAGATGGCAATGTCCGATTCACAACTGTAACTTGGGCTAGAATCAGTTCTCAAAATTATAAACATTGATATCTAATTCATAATTGATCAGACAAAGCTAAGGGTACCATTGTAAATCGGGCATTGCCATTTTTGCAAGGAGTTTTAATTGATATTACGCTTTCTGTCCTTTTAGCAACCCAATTGTTGGAAGAGGAACAGAACTAAACCAATTTAACTATTTAAAGATGTCCCTCAGGGCAAAAGGAAAAGATTGTTTAAAACTAGAAACCTTAAATCAATGTGTTAAGATAAAGTGGTTAAAAATCTTTACAATAAGATCAGTTGGATGTATTACACTGTAGTAGTAAAATAAAATGAAATAAAATAAAAATAATGAGGTTTTTGAGATGACCGACGTTTAAAAATATCTTCAATGAACTATTGATCCAGGAAAATAAGTTTGCAAAAAATTGTTTAGAATTTTTGCCATTTGCAAAAAAAATCTGCATGAATGATTTAAAACTTGAATAGAATAATCCTAAATGTCAGCCTGAAAGCTGGCTTTAAATATTTTCCATCAAATGTTAATATCTCTTTCAGTGAAATCCTGTAATCCTTTATGCTTCTATGCTTGTATACCTTTCAAGGTTTAACATTTCAAATTCCTTTCACCACTATAGGTCTCTACACTGTTAAGGGGTCTTATGAAAAACCATATTTTAAGGATAACCAATTACTTTTCACAAACTCTAATTTTCCAATCCATATATCTTTGCAACATATTGATCTTTTCTATTTCTAACTATTAGATATAAAACAACTATCGAAGTTCTACAATATTAGAGTGTAAAAATATTAAATATAAAACAACTATCGAAGTTCTACAATATCAGGGTGTAAAAATATTAGATATAAAACAACTATCGAAGTTCTACAATATTAGAGTGTAAAAATATTAGGTATAAAACAACTATCGAAGTTCTACAATATTAGAGTGTAAAAATATTAGGATTGGAAAACTAGATTGTGTGACTAATTATTATTCAGAAATGCAAGGTAGGTAAAAATATTAAACTAAAGTTACACGGAGAAAATGAATTAAAATTAAGTATTTCCAAACAGTTTATATTAAAACTAACTAGAAAGATCGGAATAGTTTCAAAACTAACCTGGAAGGATCGAAATAATTCCAAATTTAACCTGGAAGGATCGAAAGAATTCCAAAACTAACCTGGAAGGATCGAAATAATTTCAAAATTAACCTGGAAGGATCGAAATAATTCCAAAATTAACCTGAAAGGATCGAAATAATTCCAAAACTAACCTGGAAGGATTGAATTAATTTCTAAACTAACCTGGAAGGATTAAATTTGACCTAAAAGGATTTAATTGGCTTCAAAACTAACCTAGAAGGATTGAATTGGCTTCAAAAGTAACCTGGAAGGATTGAATTAACTTCAAAATAACCTGGAAAAATTAAATTGACTTCAAACTTTACCTGCAAAAATTAAATTAATTCCAAAACTAACCTGGAGGGATCGAATTGACTTTCTAAACCAACCTGGAGGGATTGAACTGAATTTCTAAACTAACCTGGAGAGATTGAACTGAATTTCTAAACTAACCTGGAGAGATTGAACTAATTCCAAAACTAACCTGGAGGGATCGAATTGACTTTCTAAACCAACCTGATTGAACTGAATTTCTAAACTAACCTGGAGAGATTGAACTGAATTTCTAAACTAACCTGGAGAGATTGAACCAAATTTCTAAACTAACCTGGAGGGAATGAATTGACTTTCTAAACTAACCTGTAAGGATCAAATTGACTCCCCACAATAAAGAAAGGAGTCTCTATATAAGACCAATATCTGGACCAGACTCCACATCTGTGCGCTAACTCACTAGAGTTCACATCAGACTAAAATAATGTAATTTTTATAATTACTGTGTAATCACTTTTCGATATCTGTGTTGTGAAAATCGCGAAAATATCGAGACACTCGTGGCAAACAAATATACTAAATCATTATATTCGCCAACTTGTTGGGGGTCAAATAATTCTTTTCTGATTACCTTGTTTTCCTCAATACATGATTCATCATCTTGTCTTCCCCAGAATATCTTCTCTCCTTCCTCTTTCTCGTAATCCCTTAACATGGATTATAATTCCTTCCCACTCGTTCTCATAATCCCATTATATGGTTTATAAGCTCTTCTTTTTTTGCATAATCCATAAATATGAATTATAATCCTTTTCTCCATTATCACAATCCCTAATAATGGATTATAAACTCCTTCCTCCTTCTCATAATTCCTTAATATGTTTTACAACCCTTTTTTCTTCTATTAATCTCTTAATTCCTTCCTTCTTCTCTTAATCCCTAAATACTTTTTATAATCCCCTTCCTCCATCTCATAATCACTAAACATTGTTTATATACTCCCCTTTCTCCTTCTCATAATCCCTAAATAATGTTTATAATCCCCTTCCTCCTTCTCATAATCCTTAAATACTGTTTATATACTCCCCTTTCTCCTTCTCAAAATCCCAAAATACTGTTTATAATCCCCTTCCTTCTTCTCATAATCCCCAAATATTGTTTATATACTACCTTTTCTCCTTCTCAAAATTCCTAAATACTGTTTATACTCCCTTTACTCCTTCTTATAATCCCTAAATACTGTTTATAATCCCCTTTCTCCTTCTCAAATTCCCTAAATACTGTTTAAAATCCCCTTCCTTCTTCTCATAATCCCTAAATACTGTTATATACTCCCCTTCCTCCTTCTCATAATCCCTAAATCCTGTTTATATACCCCTCTTTCTCCTTCTCATAATCCCTAAATACTGTTTATAATCCCCTTCCTTCTTCTCATAATCCTTAAATACTGTTTATATACTCCCCTTTCTCCTTCTCAAAATTCCTAAATACTGTTTATAATCCCCTTCCTTCTTCTCATAATCCCTAAATACTGTTTATAATCCCCTTCTTCCTTCTCATAATCCTCAAATACTGTTTATAATCCCCTTCCTCCTTCTCATAATCCTTAAATACTGTTTATATACTCCCCTTTCTCCTTCTTACACTAATACCACTCTTCACCATCAGATTTCTTCTCTTAACATTTTTATTTAGTGGATTTGTTTACTCCGTATTGTGTTAATGTTTCCAATTAAGATTTCCAAGATAATGGTTTGTTTCAACAAATTCCATTTTCATGTTTTTAAAGGGAATAAACAAGTAATACAAATATGATGATTACTTCTCAGAAGAAACTTGTCAATGAACATGAAGATTACAATTTTGAATTTTATATATGTTTTGAAATTTAAACTCAATAGACCTCTACTCTCTAATTGAATAACAGAGAATTGTGGTGTTAACACCTTTTTTTCTCTGGAATTTTTGGCAATGTACATTTTACAGGGTGTCCCCCCGAAACATAACAGTTGAGAGACGCTCATGAATAACGTCTTTGAAATAATTTGTGCAGTTCATTTGTCGTGAACCACTAGTACAAGTGTGCTTTTTGAAACTATAATCACAAAATAACCCTTTTCTTCTCGAGGTGTCATGACACCCTGTACCTCACAGACTTTTTCCCACGTAGATTCTAAAATAAAGTTTTTACCTGTTGGCGCATTCTTCTGATTTGACCCACCATGGAGTCATGTCAGGACTATCAGCTATACACTTTACAGGTACTCCAGGTAGTAAACTTAACAATATATTCTAGAGTTTATCAGCTATACACTTTACAGGTACTCCAGGTAGTAAACTTAACAATATATTCTAGAGTTTATCAGCTATACACTTTACAGGTACTCCAGGTAGTAAACTTAACAATATATTCTATTCTAGACTATTCTAGACTACTAAATTCTTTTTTTGAAAATTATTGGACAATGTGTTATAAACCGAATTGCTATTCATGTAAAACTAATTAGATATGTTTTAATATGCTTTGATATTTGTTGTGTACATGTCAGACAATTACTTTAAACTCTAGTTATTCGAATTAATGTATAAACTATTTTGCATATGATAAATTTGCACCCTGATCTATAATCGTTCTCCTTAAATCTATTTAATTGAAATATTTTGTTATTATTACTAAAATTAGGTGGAAAAAATAGTCAAAACAGCCAAGAGCTATTTTCCACCCAATTGCTTTATACTTGTACTGTTAATATAATCATCAATTATGTGATTGTAAACTCTATCTGTATACAGATACATTTATTTTAGCAATAAACTTTATTTTATCTTATCTTATCTTCTAGAGTTTATCAGGACTCCACTATACAGGTACTCCAGGTAGTAAACTTAACAATATATTCTAGAGTTTATCAGGCCTCCACTATGCAAGTACTCCAGGTAGTAAACTTAACAATATATTCTGGAGTTTATCAGGACTCCACTATGTAGGTACTCCAGATAGTAAACTAAATAGTATATTCTGGAGTATATCAGGACTCCACTATACAGTTACTCCAGGTAGTAAACTCAACAGTATATTCTGGAGTATATCAGGACTCCACTATACAGGTACTCCAGGTAGTAAACTCAACAGTATATTCTGGAGCTATTAGGACTCCACTATACTGGTACTCCAGGTATTTAACTATACAGTATATCATTTATATTAGTTAGAGTGCTTTACGGGGAGAAAGTTTCCTGGATTGAGCCGTTATTCAATGCTCACACTGTATCCACCCCTTTTCTCTGACGAATAGAAAACCGGTTTTACCTGGCAACATAATCACAGTTGTATCCTACACCACGTGCTCCAGATCCACTACCAATCAGAGTAAGGGAGGCGGCACGGGCCAGCCCGAATCTTGAGGACATGTCTTCAAGGAAAGCAGTTAGAATATGTCTTCCGTGAAAATATAAGTTTCCTGTGTTCCTAGAGGCTCCACGTGTACCTAAATTAAAACTTTCGTTTAGTTGCGAAAACCTGTTCTTTAAACTGCATATAAAAAATTATATTTACAGCTAGACCTTAGACAAAAATGGTTTTGCATAAATGTACAAGTTTTTAAAAGTATCCAAACCATTAAAATATTTGAACCCATCCCGAAAAAAGTTTAAAAAGTAGGTTGTAAAAGTGTTCAAATAAAAATATTTTTACTTTTGACAAATATTTACATGTGTCCAGGTTATTGCATCACCCGTAGTAATAATAACCTAACTAAAAGACCTTATTATTAAGTGACATTTCAACAGGATTCTAAAATGTGTTAAATTTCAACAAAAATGGTATTTCTGAATAATGAAAATAAAAGATGTTGGAAGAGATGTGCAATGTGAACACAAGAAAATGCTAAATGAAACAAATTTTAATGCAAAAGAATTTTCTTAATAACTAAACTTTGCAAAAGCAAGTAATAAATAATATTTTTCATCCAAGTTTTGAATCTTCATCAAAGAAATGAAAAGAATTCTTGAAAATTTTCTGTAAAAGATTATTCATGATAGACTTGAACCCCCCCCCCCCCCCCTTCATGGTTGTTAGAATGGGGAAGGAACCAACACTCCAGTAGACCTTGGACCAAAATTTATGAATTAGAGAGAAAAAATTTATGAATTAGAGAGGTCGCTAAACTATCTACCGCCGGTTCATATCATAAAACAGCGATTCAAAATCTATTTGCTAAACTGATTTGATTTTAAGAAGTAATAATACTTTCGCATTTTAAGAAGTGTTAAGAGTTTTTTCTGTAAAATATTAATGTGTTCTCTTTCTAAATGAACCGGTGTGGTTTTGGACAATCAGAAGAGAACTGCAAACAAGTTATTGTTTGCCTATTCTCTTAGCCATATCAATTGTAATCCTGGAATAGGAAGACAACATAAAATCAGTAGATAAGTGCATTTGATGTTGTTACAAAGCAAATAGTTTTACTAGTAACTTATTAAACCACTTATTGCATGAAATGGGTCTGTTTACACTGCACAATTGCTGTGTCACACATTCATTGGACTATTAAGTCAAAACTTAAGTCTAAAAGTCGTCTTCCTACTCCAGAGTTGTCATCATTGTTGGTATATCTGCCTTCTATCAATTTCCTGAAAAAGAGTGCATTGTTTACCAACAACAACGACATGTAGCTTTTTCTGTTAAAACATAATTAAACATTTCTAACGAGGGATATTTTGCATTTAATTAGAAAAGCTTTCTGCCTGAGAAGACATCTTGAATTTTGATCACAGAAAACTAGACATTGTATACTAGTACACTTTGTGACCTCGTAGAGTGTATTTATCCGATGACTAGAATTTCAAAACATTTTTTTTCTCCTTCATAACTCTTCAATTGGAGAAGTTAAATTTGGAAATATGTAAGATAAAGATTTCAATGTTCTCATGCTAGAACTAATTTTCATGATTTTCAGACACTTTTCAGGAAAACTTTTCAAATATTTGTTTTTGCCAATTTGAACTAATAGGTTTAAAATATGAAACAATTTTTACAGCAAATAAAATATAAAAATAATCAGTGTTTTACTTATGAGATAACTTTTATGTGCAAAATTTTCATAAAACTCAATTTCAACATTTCTATGACGAAAGGTATAACTATGCATCTGAAGGATTGAAAATGTATTGGTTTTATTCTACATATACATCTCTTCTTTGTTTACTTCAATCTTAAACCATCGATATTATAGAGATAGTGAGCAATTAGGAGTTTATTCTAATGTGCATTTCTTCTTTAAACTCCACTCCAGCCTAATCCAATGATATCATAGAATTAGTAGTTTATTCTATCAATGCATCTCTTATTCGAAATCAAGCTTAAACCATCGATATTATAGAACTAGAGTGCCATTTGTAGTTTATTCTGTCAATGCATACAGAACTAGAGTAAACTAGGGTTTATTTAATACTAGCTTGGGAAACCCAGCGCTGCCCAGGTTACTAAAAATTAATCCTGCCGTTTACCCGCACTGGAACGATTTAATCAGGAAACAAAATTTTTGCTATTAAAGTCGACTTACCAAACTTAGAATCTCAAAACTAACCTAAGAACATTCTAGTGGGTCTCCCAAGTTCCCCCATTCAAAATTTGAGGCAAATCGGTCCAGGGTTTCATGAGTTATGATCAGACAAACAACCAGACAGACAAACAGAGATTACAACTTTTTGCTGTTGTAATTTCATGTGACCCTCCGTTAAAAAAGAGTGGCGTGGGATGCCCATTTTTTTTACGTTTTTTACAGTGATAACCAGAAAACTGTGGAATAAAAAGACAACAGTATGGCAATACTTGAATGTATTTTAAGTTTTTTCAAAGCAAATAGTTTTTTTTTGTAGAAGAAACTAACATGGATACAATAAGCTAATGTACATAATATCAGTTAATCGTAGGGTTGTTACTCATTATTATTGGCCTTGAGGGCATTGTGGTCTATCAGTTTGTATGAGAGTAAATTCTCAAGCTCTTGGAGTGTTGCTACCTTCGGGTTCACGTCCCAGGTTGCTGGGTTCTTTATCTGTATCTTTTTGATCCAGGTCGTAAGATGATTTTCATGGTAGTACTCCATGTTTTCTTCAAAGTACTGGGGATGTCCTCTCTCCCTTATTACTTTAGCAGCTGCATCAGGCCCTTCAGCCATGAAGAGATCAATCAGTCCTTCTGTCTCGAGCCCCAGCTGCACTATCGAAATACATGTGTTTCTCAGGCTGTCGAGCTTGGAGTCGCCACCTATACTCAATACACTATTATGTTCACAATAAAGTCACGGTAAGTCAAACTTGCCTTCACAGTCTCATGGGCTAGAACACATAGAACCCGTATTGAGCATCCAGCCATCTATTGTACATACGTAAGTTCAAATGGAAATAAATAACTATTAAGTATGAGCTGTTTAGCCTGTTGTGCAACATCTTGTACAGAGCTATAGAGTTCCATAATGAAGATTGTCCAAGACAGTTCAAAGAGTTACATAGCTTCTTCGCTAGAGCTAGCTATACTAGCCATCTCATTAACACTTCTTGATTTAAGTGTGTCATTAGCTATCACAATCACTCTGGCTACACTCTCTCTTCAAAGGCAGAAATCTTGGCATCTGATATAGGACGATCCTCTCTCGTGATCTTGGTTATGTTCCCATTTGCCGACAGGAGGACTTCTCTAACCTTAGGCTGGGGCTTGACCAGGTTTAGTATAAGTGTAATTAGCAAGTCTAGTTTCAATCTCACATATAATATTTCTTCATCACAGACTCACTAATCTTGTCTCTGTCAGGTCCTTGGGCGAGTGGCTCATGTGAGGGATTGACTGGTGCTCTTCTTTGATTAACAGGAGGAAGCCTGAATGGGGGTAAAGGAACTGCACTCCAGGATGGGTATTCTTGGCTATCAGCTGCTAGGAATGTTTCGTCATTGCCGAACTCACAGTCCCAATCTTCATCATTTGCGTCGTACACAATTCCCACTCTGCTCCCCATAGAGCTAGCATAAGACATAGTTGATAAAAGGGTCTCCCTTGAAGTCTCCCATTATGTCTCTGAGCCGCTCAACCACAGAATTTGAAAGCTTCAACATTGTCTATGGAGAAGATCTCATCTTCTATTCCTCTTAATGTCCCTTCCTTCACTTTGTACCCTATAGCTATCTCAACCCTGTTAGATAGAGATGCCTCAATATAAGTCAAGGCCTTCTTGACAATGTGGTAAGACTTGATGTTAACAGATTTCCTTCTGAGGTCAGAAACCTTTGACATGTTGTTCAGGTCTCCAGATTTAGTCCCAGACCCTGGTGCTGTAATCGTCTCACACTCAGGTGCGTTTGGATATGCAATTATTGAATGGCTCTTCTGTTGGGTAGCTCTCGTCATTCTCTTCGTGGATACACTCGCACTAATCTTTACCATAGACAACAGTGTGTCTTGTTCGGGAAACAAACAGTTCATTGCCAATTCCGCCTCCCACAGTTTCTCTCCAGGTAGAGACCTTCCGTTTAGGCACATGGTTACAGCTCTGGCCATATGGATCGTTTGTGATTCGAGGGGAAGGCTTCAATATGCCGGGTTTGTAACCTCGAAGATACCCTTTTGAAACTTTCGTTACGTCCCTCCCCTTTCTGGATCTCCTGGTGTGCATATCATCATACTCGAACCCTGGTCTGCTTCAGGCGAACCCAGTACTCCTATCTGTCACGTCTGATCCAGATGAGAGAAGCGGTACGTATTTAGCAACTACCTTATTGTTGTATGAAAATTTTGTCTGGTTAATAATTGTCAACAGAATATTTTTTATGTATTCCTTATTTATGTTTGTTTACAAATATTAATTTTTGATGAATGGAAATGTAAACAAACACGCCAGTTGTGTTGTGAATCCGGAGCTTAGAGGTCTTTAAATGCTTGTTTAACCTAACTTTTGTTTAGTTCGGAAGAGTCTTGCGAATCTATCAGTGCCACAGAGCTCTCTATTTTCAAGAGTGGAACTCATATATTTGTATTTAAAGTAATAAATTATTGTTCAGTTATTCTTGTTTCATTTTAAAACCACATATACAGAATCACTTTAAATTTCCTGCTACTGCAGACAGGGTATTATTTTTCTGCAACAAGAAAAACAAGAAGAAGGAACAGGATCAGGCAGTGCAAAGTTTACCATGCTGACACTAACAAAGCTGTAGTAGTTATCTTGGACGAATCATGTTAGTTCTCATGGAGGTTTGGTCCTAGCGATGGATATAACTCCCTTTATGCTTCTCTCCGAATAATCTGCAGCACATCTAGCTAAGAAAGATGACACTGCCGTCTTGCTATGTATACACACATACCTCCTACACCTTGCTAGCAGCATTCACCATCTTCTCACAAAACTCACCACATTTCACCATATTCCTCAGTATTCGTCTGAGGCTAGATGTTGTGTCATCCACTCCTTTATAATTGGGATGGACTGATTTG